TGCTCCATCCGGTGTTAGTACAGGAAGAAACCTGAGGCTGGTAAACCTGTAGTATTTTGGTAGTCACTCCAGTTAACAGTGGGATTGCTAGTCTTCAGGTGATCTGGAAAAACACTAGGGAGGAAAGACTTATCATAGCTTGATTGTGGAATGTAACAAGGTTATTACAATGGCCTATCCTTGTGTGGCTGAACTCCTCAGTATTATTAGTGGAAAGACGTAACTAAGTGTGAGTCGTGGAACAACATTGTAACTATAACTTTGGATTTTCATGAACCAACCCTTAGTAAATCAGGGAGAGCAAGTATTATTGTTAATTCTTTATTTAGCAGTACCCATAATAATAATAATACTGTACTGTACTATACTGTACTGTACTGAACTGAACTGAACTGAACTGTACTGTACTGTACTGTACTGTACTGTACTGGACTGTATTATTATTATTATTATTATTATTATTATTATTATTATTATTATTATTATTACCTTCTACAGATTGTAAGCGAGGATGACATTCTTCCCGGGGTGGATGGAAAGATCATCGCCTGGGTGGAAGAAGATGCAGACTGAGAGATGAAGATGCTGAAAAATGGAAAGGGGTGATGACGACCAGAAGAAGGTGATGAAGATACTAAACATTATGCAGAATGGTAAAGAGTGGAGGATCATACTGAGGAATGGATAAAAATTTGGAGAAATAGAGAAGGATGGAAGAGTAATTATGAAGGGAGACACAAAGATATCAGACTTGAAGGTGAATCCTGCTTGGACACTGATATATATTTTATCCCATCACAGTACAGTACTACATATTACAGGTGAACATGTATATTTGTACCAATTACTCCAATGAAGTGAAATTCATTTGTAGGATTCCTACTGGTATCACTTAAATACCGGTAGGTGTGGCTACTGGATACTTTAACAAAAAAATTTACTCTGCTTATTGCCCTTGGGATAAAATGTTAGTACACTGTGCAATAGTACAGGTATCTCTCCTAAGAGTAACTCTCAGACGTGCAATATGAATGAACACTGCATAAATTATAGCTTCAGCATTGTGTTCATGATCTTGTTTTATCATTTTCAATATAAGTCGGATGAATTTTGTTAAGATACCCTGTACTGTATTAGGACACATTATTCTATGGTTGCTGTTGTATCTCATATATGTAAATGTGAATGGATGAAAGAATTTTATATATACAGTATTTCCTTGGTTCTGTGTGGTATATAATTAAGGTTTTCTGTATTTTATCAGACAGTGTGTGACTTCATTGTCAAAGCCAAAGATAGTAATGTATTTACCATTTGTTGAGCTCCAAATACTTGTACAGTAGTTAGTACAGTACACTTTACATTAACTACGGCTGCCTGTCCCAAAGACAAAAAAGTTAATGGCATTTACTTCTCATTAAATGCATTGTAAGGTCATATTATGTGAATTACTATATTTGTTATCATTAAGAATAGTTCCTGTTTTCTTCACAGCTTATGTATATAATGTTCTCAGGAACCAAGAACTAATATAATAAGGTCTTCCTCTGACAATTTCTTTTTCATAAAAGAAAATGCATAATTTCATCCTTAAAGCAGATTTAATTTAAACATTTTTTTCTATATCATATTGTATAGAAATTAAACGTAAAAATTATCTCTTCTTTGTGTTCTTGCAGTATGGCATGCAGTGTTATAATGATGCAGCATTATTCTGATTAGCGACAATGTAAATATTTTTGTATCATTTATTATTAATAAAAAATGAAACTTAAATTGCACTTAGAATGTTATTCAATACTAAATTAATAGTTCCCCACTGAAATATGGTGAGTGTGATGAGTACTTAAATGATCCTACAGAGTACAGTACAGTACAGAGCTACTGTACCCAGTTAATTTGTGTAAGCAACTACAGGCACAGTACATATAGATGGGTCGGTGGGAAAGCATTTTGTCTTGCAAAGCTCATACTTCTGTTGACTTATCTCCACAATCCATAAAACCAGATCTTGGTTTATGAATATATCCCCGAAATGCATCGCTTCTTGCTATTTTTTTTGCCTGCTGAATAACTTCCAATTTCTTAATCTCACTCACCAGTGTGATCCTGAGGGGGCAAGGCTTGTTCTCCTGCCTTTGTCCTATTATTCTCAAATCCTGAAGGGGGGTGGGGGGGTGACAGTTTCAGAGCCTCTGCACAAATATTCTCAAACTCTCTCTTATTGTGTGTTTTCTTACTCTTAGCTAACCCCCAACTGGCTCTCAGGGACTCCAAATACTATTATATTGTTCCTGCACTTGAAACATTTCTGTTGTTCTTCCTCTCCCATATCAATAGGGCTACTAGTTGTCGTCTCTTCAGCACACTTGTGCAGAATCCCTAGCCGCTGAAGGACCTGTTCGGATCCAGCATTACTCACCGTCACATTCTGTGAACCTGCTATAGCCTGAGTTAACTCTTCTTTACTACTCCCTGTATTCTATCAGCTACTTCCTCAGTCTTAGTGAGGATCTCTTTCCCAACTTGCTATAGTTTGGCAACCAACAAGGATCCAGCTTCATCTATTTTTGCCTCTAAGTTTGTCATTCCATTATGATCTGCAATAGCCTCTTTTACTTTGGTTATGCACTCAGGGTAATACCAGTAACAGCATTCAAACTTTAACTCATTATGCAACGTCCTAAATGTTGAGGTGGTCGGACCCCTACAATCCGCCCTAGACGTCGTCCCCTTGTAGTAATTGCAGGTCTTCTAACTATAATACAGTACTTAGTGACCCTGAGGTTTTAACCCCTGATTCCTTATGTCTCTGCATGTCCTGTCACAAGCTGTCTTCTTCCTTATACATACTTACATCTGTGGGACATGCAGTGCTTGACAGCTGTCGCTGTTGGCAATCCTGAGGAGGGGTGGGTGCTAGTGGGTAGGGGGTATGTCCAGACTGTAAGAATCTTCTTAGCCTTATGCCCAATTTATGATGTGATATAATTTTAACTGTCATCTTAACTATAATAATAATTATTATTAATATTATTATTACCATGATAATTGTTTTTTATGCCTTCGTGACAGGGCATAAGTGTCAAAGACCTTTTAAAGTCCACGACTCACCTACATTCTTACAATAGTCCTCCGTGTCTGGTGTGTAGGAAGGGGGCTGATGCAAACCTTTCACTTTATTGTGAGGAAGACATTTAAAATTTACCCCTTGCTGGGATGACTTCCTTTATAATCACACCTACTAATTGTAATCTAAGTGAACTTAGATGTGTGAGTGATCATGCCTTTGTTGCAGGATAATAATATTAAAGAATCACTTATTGTCCTGCTGATCTTGACCTCGCTGGCAGCCATATTTGCTGTTCCTCTGAAATACAGCACAGTGTACTTACTTTTTACTTTACTTTTACCGTTATCCTCTTCACCACTAATCGGCTCGTTAGCCGCTAGGGCGATCGGTCACGTCTCTGTTATGCACTGTTTGTGATAGTGTCTACATAATTCTTTGAATATTTGTTATATTGATGTTACATCTCTTTATACCAAGGCAGCATAAGTTTTTTTTATAGAGCTCATGGGTCTTTGTTCCAGCCTATTACAGGTACAGTATTGTGATTCTGGAACCAATTATCATACAGAGGCATAATAACAGACTTCAAGTTCAAAGGCTTTTTTCTCTTTATTGACCAAGTAAATCAAGTTTAATTCAATAAATATCAATAAATACACATATTGTTCAACGAGTCTGACGTGTTAGCAGTTACTAGGGTAAGGATAGGAGTGTCAGCAGGTACTAGGGTAAGGATAGGAGTGTTAGCAGTTACTAGGGTAAGGATATAGGGGTAAGGATAGGGTGTCAGCAGGTACTAGGGTAAGGATAGGAGTAAGGATAGGGTGTCAGCAGGTACTAGGGTAAGGATAGGAGTCAGCAGCTAGGGGGGTATATGGGGTGTCAGCAGTACTAGGGTAAGGGATAGGGATGGTGTAAGCAGGTACTAGCAGGTACTAGGGGTAAGGATAGGGTGTCAGTGTCAGCAGCTACTAGGGAGTGTCAGCTACTAGGGTGGATAGGAGTGTCAGCTGGGCAGGATAGGAGTGTGTGGGGCTAGAGGGTAAGGATGGGAGTGTCAGCAGCAGGTACTAGGGTAAGGATAGGAGTGTCAGCAGCTACTAGGGTAAGGATAGGAGTGTCAGCAGCTACTAGGGTAAGGATAGGAGTGTCAGCAGCTACTAGGGTAAGGATAGGAGTGTCAGCAAGTACTAGGGTAATGATAGGAGTATCAGCAGCTACTAGGGTAAGGATAGGAGTGTCAGCAGGTACTAGGGTAAGGATAGGAGTATCAGCAGGTACTAGGGTAAGGATAGGAGTGTCAGCAGCTACTAGGGTAAGGATAGGAGTGTCAGCAGCTACTAGGGTAAGGATAGGAGTGTCATACTAGGGTACTAGGGTAGGATAGGAGTGTCATGGGTACTAGGGGTAAGGATAGGGTGTCAGTATCAGCAGCTACTAGGAATACAGGTACTAGGGTAAGTGTCAGCAGGTACTAGGAGTAGGATAGGAGTGTCAGCAGCTACTAGGGTGGGATAGGAGTGTCAGCAGGTACTAGGGTAAGGATAGGAGTGTCAGCAGGTACTAGGGTAAGGATAGGAGTGTCAGCAGCTACTAGGGTAAGGATAGGAGTGTCAGCAAGTACTAGGGTAATGATAGGAGTATCAGCAGGTACTAGGGTAAGGATAGGAGTGTCAGCAGTTACTAGGGTAGGGTGGGAGCATCTTTAAATCTACTGTAGTCAGAGGAAGCGGGTTAGTAGTTGATGGGTCAGTAGCTAATGCTTCAGTAGTTTTATGTATCAATGATTAGTGCTTCAGTAGTTATTGGGACATTAGCTGGTGCTTCACTAGATATTGGGACAGTAACTGGTGCTTCAGTAGTTGTAGGGGCAGTAGCTGGTGATTCATTAGTTTTATGTCTCAATGGTTGGTGCTTCAGTAGTTTTGTTTCAATAGTTGGAGCTTCAGCAGTTGCTGGTGCTTCAGTAGATGTTAGGGCTGTAGCTAGTGCTTCAGTAGTTGTTGGGTCAGTGGCTGGTGCTTCAGTAGTTGTTGGGTCAGTAGCTGGTGCTTCAGTAGTTGTTGGGTCAATGGTTGGTGCTTCAGTAGATTTATGGACCAATGGTTGGTGCTTCAGTCGTTGTTGGGTCAGTCGCTGGTGCTTCAGTAGTTGTTGGGTCTGTGGTTGGTGCTTCAGTCGTTGTTGGGTCAGTGGCTGGTGCTTCAGTAGTTGTTGGGTCAGTAAAGGTGCAGTGGCTGGTGCTTCAGTAGTTGTTGGGTCAGTGGCTGGTGCTTCAGTAGTTGTTGGGTCAGTGGCTGGTGCTTCAGTAGTTGTTGGATCAGTAACTGGTGCTTCAGTCGTTGTTGGGTCAGTGGCTGGTGCTTCAGTAGTTGTTGGATCAGTAACTGGTGCTTCAGTAGTTGTTGGGTCAGTAACTGGTGCTTCAGTAGTTGTTGGGTCAGTAACTGGTGCTTCAGTAGTTGTTGGGTCAGTGGCTGTAGTAGGAGTCTGAGTGATGGAGGTAGTAGTAGTAGGACATAATGTGAGCTGGAGGAGGTTGGTGGAGGGGCTACAGCCAAACACAGCTACCGTGATGGTGTGCGGGGAGTCTGTGTGAGGGACGGTCTTGGTGCTAGTGTACGAGAGTGTTGTTGTCGTTATCAATCCCAGGGGCCTGATGAACCGACCTTCTGTGAATTAATGATTATACTACATATATCAAGAACATATTTGAGATTTATTGTATGTATGACTTAATCGATATTCAAATTATGTTTTGTTTACACGATATCTCGGTTATTGGTAAATGCGCCAAAAGTGTCAAAGACAAAATCGTCTTGTTTTTGTCTGAAATTATGCCCTCTACTATTAATTGACCGATTTAGCAATAAGACTTATCAGTAAAACACCCGCCTCCTATTCTACCGCCCTCATTTAAGCATTATATCGTTTCTCCAAGTTCTTTACAGTTCCTAAATGAGCAACACTGTTGTTAATATAATGTTATTTCTGTGCTTCAACAACAAAGGTCTTTAATTAAGCGTGTAACAAGGTTAGTAATACACTAGTCTAACAACATTAACAAATTATGATAGAACTCTGTATTGAGCAACACTGGAATAAAGTTGCTTCAAAGGCTCACAGTTCGATGGGTGTCGCACTTTTAGCAGTTTAACCAAGGTGTATGGTGAGCCAGAGAGAGTTGTGGCTACATCAAGTTTTAGTTCCTTTAAGTCCAGACTTGACCAACATTGGAACATGTTCAGGTACGTACACTTAAGAGCCTGTATACATTCCTAGTCCAGTACTATACTTGTTAACGCTGTGTAGCACTACTGACCGACCAATAGCTAGGCTAGTAAGCTGACGACACGCAGAAGAGGATAAAGTTAAGTAAGGCTAATGGGTCAGTAGTTTTAGGAGATTATCTCTTCCTGTTTTGAAAATGTAATTTTTTTTTTAACATTTATCATAGATGACACTCAATTTACACGTGTGAATAAATAAGAATAAACAGCGTTACCACCTATCCCAGTGTAAAGAACGTCAATAACTACCTGGTGTCAATGCATGTCATTATTGATGAGAAACTAATTTATTTGGATTCTTAAAAAATTAAAGATTATCAAAGTGTAAAGTTTTAATTTGAATAAATTATGTCAGAATGTGACTTACCTTTGACTTGCCTCACTTCTCTCTTCAATGTGGAAAGCTCACGGGACAGCAGTTGTGCTTCAGTTCTGTGTCACACGGAGATGTAAAAAGATTAAAATAAATTGAAAACGCTTTGATTTTAATAAACAGAAAATATGGGGAGAGATCGGGCACGTAACGTTCCAAACCTACAGTAGATATTTGAGACAACTGAAGTTGTTGATGGTTAAGCGACAAACAAATTCTCTAATAATCTAATTTTATAATTTCCTGTTATTCTCCACTACCTGTCTTGTAGCATTTAGATAGGCTGATTATTATTCTAGAGTTTTTAAAAGATATTTTATTGGAGATTTTAGTATGCACGAAAGAAATTGGGAGTGTGTTACAGAAAACTTAACTGACCAAACTTCACGAGTTGCACGTAGTATTTCGGAAGTCACCAGATCCATCCTGCCAGATACTTTTTGAGATACTGTACAACTTGTCAAAGAAAACGGACAATTATAGGAAGAACTGAGAATTTAGTTTCAAAGAAAATTCCACCTCTACTGGCAGCATCCATTACAGGTGACTTACTCAGTGGACTCCAACATGGTGGGCGTGACAGCTAGGTAGCGAGCGTTGGAGGACCTGCCACATGCGGGAGCGTTGGCGTTTGTCATTATACACGTGGCGTGCTGCTGTGTGGTGACCACCTTCAGTACCTGAAAAAAACCCGTCCAAACTTATCAGCTACATCCTTCTTGCTACTGCCTCTACACATGTGTTTTGTGTGAGAGTTGTGCAAGACTTGTTACAAACTAAAAACTCACCAGGTGATATAAGGCAGCAGCAAACAAATTAAATACAGGTATGACAATTCTGCCTGATCTTGCATAAAATAACTGTACGTTCATATACGAACGGATGAACTTGGGGGGGGTGAACAGGTGCAAATCACCGTGCCCCCAGCACTCGCTGCTGAGGACATTAACATGAAGTATCTTATGTCTCTGCCACAGATCACTGTGACAACAAACAGGTCATCTATGCTGGTTACTGCTGATGACAAGCAAAATGTCAATCAGTATTAAATTTTTATCTAGAAGACAAAATGTGTGAGCATTACTGACTCTCTTGGTGCTAGTGAAGAGATATTTGGTGGGGGCGGTCGGCCGAAACAACAAAAACCTCTGCTGCACACCGTCCTCCTCTAGCAAGGAGACGCTTGTCCACGGCCACGCGTGTATTGTAGAGTAGTGTGACCCAGTAGTGGCTGCCACACTCACCATGGCTACCACCAGTGACACCAGCTATGGAGTACACAAGAGTTACTAATGATATTGTATAACCTGATGAACAATACACACACATACATACAAACAAACATGCATAATAATAATAATAATAATAATGTTTGCCCTCGTATTTGAGGCTGGCTAGCCTCAGGGCCACCTTAACGTTAATTTATTTAAGATGTAGCTGCCGCCAACACAACAACCACACCCTAAGTTAACGAGCTGCATGATCCAGTGTCGATGAATACTCCAAGAGGACCCGATAACTCGTCAACTCCACTGGCTAATCAATACTTCGGTACAAGATCCACAAATAGATAAATATCCAGGTTCCCAATTACAGCTGGATAACATTGGCAAATGGCGTAAAGAAACTTGTCCACAGTTTCACCCTGTGTATATGCTAACCACACACATACACACAAACCTTCATGATGACGATGTTTCGAGACTGACACACACACACACTTCTGGACCGCCAACAACAAGTTCCTCACTCAAGACGACCGCACCTTCAGCTATCCATCCCTGGCAAAATCTGATGGTATATATATATATATACGGTCCCGGACACGCAGGTAAACATGAGATGCCACATAGTCCACGAAAAACTTCCCAAAGACACACAGATCATTACCATTCACCCCCCCCCCCCTTAGCACAGCTCCGCCAGTCTTTCAAAAGCCGTTAAATATACAGAAATCTGCATTTGTGTCTTTATTTAGGAATGCACGTTTAAATAAGTGTAGGAATGGTATTTTATTTTTATTTTTTTATAATTTTTAGGGTGTGTCAGTGAGGAGATAGATAGTGGTCAGGCTGGGACAGTGGCTGGATAAGGAAGACGACTCCCGAGGGAAAAGGCCGCCATGACGATGGATGGTCCGCCAACCTCTCTCAAAACTGTCCAGGGTTCCCGCTCCTTTGACGCTCGATCTATTTCTGTCTTCTCCATTAATGTTTCTGTCTCCATCATCTATTTATGTCTATTTCTGTCTCCTTCAGCATCACGTATACCTCTTTGTGAAGGGCAGTGGTAGCACCTCTCACACCTTGTGATGTCTCCCTGATAATTCCTCGCTCCATTTGATGTAAGATCCCGTTGATGACTGGCATGGCGCTGGTGTCCATTTACTTCATCCACTTCGAGCCATCTAATACTGTATATCATCTGAAGCCTCGGAGGATTCACATCATTCGAAGACGTATATACTCATTCATGCTCAAAGATCGCGGATGTAGAGCTACCAACCATTCAGAAATAGGTCGAGTAACATTGCTCGGAAAGCCTGGAATAGCACCAAAGCCCCCTGGCTCGCGATGGTTTTTGGGGAGGACTCAGTACGTAAACCTGCTGAAGAAATGTGAACTTGTATGACGATTTTACTGGATAAATATCTATCTATCTCTGAATATATATATATATATATATATATATATATATATATATATATATATATATATATATATATATAAACACAGAGGGGGTATATGTGAGGAATGCGGAAGTTCATCAGGTCGAGCCAATGTTTGTTGTTCTGAAAATCGTCAACTTTCGACAGGTTTGTTTCCATAAAAGAAGTGAGGTCAGTGATCGTCAAACTAGGTCACCTCGACCCTCCACATCTATCTGGCTGTTTACCTGACGTGTGTGTGTGTGTGTGTGATGACATCCTTGAACCCCGAAACGAGAGGGGGCCGGAGGGGGGAGGGGGGGGGTCAGATTTTGAGCTCTACTCGATTTACCCCCAAATTACGATATAGTTCCAAAGGATTTTAAATGGGTAGTGAACGCAGCAAAGAGGCGGGACATACCGAGAGACTTTTGCTTCTATTCTTACACCACATAAAAAGTTACAGGTGAACGTTCCTCCGCAACCAATACTTTTACTTTTTCCTTTTATCCTGTGGGCCGTGGGTTCAAATCCCGGCGGGGTGAGGTGTTGATATATATATATATATATATATATATATATATATATATATATATATATATATATATATATAATGCATTTAATTTAGTTAAAGTAATATTAATAGTTACCTGAATTGTAAATCTTTACTCTTGATTTAAATGTCTTACGCAAGTCTACATTCCTTTGTCTGCGCGCACATCACCAGCTACTGTTGAACGTCAGATTACCTGCCATTTCCTTAAAGATCGTGACCAGAGAAACACAACACTCACCACCTTCAGTAAAAACCGGTGATCATGGAGGGCTCACCAACTAAGCTCCATCATTAATTCCTGACCTTCATCCACATCAGCAAACCTTGAGTATTAATTATGTTGTAGGATATCCTAACTTTATACTTCATACGTTATCTAAACTCCGACATTGCCATTTTAGGTAATCACCCATTTCGAGTATTTATTTAATTCGTATAACGTAATGTAAGTATTTCTTGTACTGATATCAACCAATTCAGGGCAATAGAGTTGAGTGACCCTCATAACGAGGCGTATTATTATGTATAAATGCAAGTTTACTCTGTTGAAATTACCGTTTACCCGCGGTCTCTACACCACGTGGTACCATACTCCAAAGAAACCTCTCGGGTGCTCAGGTGTTATGAAGTGAGGAATCACAGTATGGTATTGGGGATTGCTGGCCACTTCGCCTTTGGGCTATTTCGGCCGGAATCACAGTCACACGACAGAACTTATATAGTGTTGAGACGAGCCCAAATACCATGGTTTTGCTGTTGTTCAGATGACTTGCTCTCGCCCACAATGGAGAGACAACAAATAGGTTCAATTATTTTTACTTGCTGTATAATGAGGGAAAATTCCTTATTGAAAAGTGTAAAGTTGCTTATTTTGTGCAGGGCGGTGATCCATGTCATACTGAGAGCATGGTGAAGGAGAGGTCGGGTGTGTTGTACTGTACAATGTATTAGTCTGGACAGCAAACTTGTATTAGATAATTAAGAAGTAAATGGGCTGAGTGAATAAAACTACTAATATGTGGGAAAGGCCGCCATTGTATCTACACATAACACACAATGTCAACATGTTGTTATCAAGGCCAAAGAAGCTACGATTATCAATTAATTTAAAGGTGAGAAATACTTGATTCTTAATACATATTATTTGTATAAAGAAAACAAGACTAAAGTAAGTTTTATTGGACGTTTGGCAAAGGCTGACGGTGTAGTGTAGAGTATAACTGCGCCTCGACAACTAATGTGACCTTGGGTTCCATGGCTTTTGTGCTTCAGCGAATTTACAAAAATCAGTGCTGACCTGAGTCTGATTTATCAAAAACGAACCACTGGACGATAGATACTAAAGTTTGGCGTCAATTCGCAGTTGTCCTTTTTGGGGGTAAATCTATTGATAATGTACAGTTGGCTCCACTCCTGCGTTTACCATGTAATGTTGACAGTCCTTTTTCTCCGAGGTCCGAACCCCAAACACTGAACTCTGAATTCGAAGCATCCCAGAGGGGAGGGCTGTGTTGGAGTAGGTGTCTTGGGGGGGGTATACAGTATATTATTTGGGAAGATTACAAAGCAGATTAACACTGACAATACCGACGAGGTTTCTTCAACTGAGTGCAATCGTCTTGTACTAGCCAAGTGAAAATAATAAAGTTCCAATAGAATGAGAGGGGGGGATGAATTTATTTTCTAAGTAAGGTGTTTCTTTGCAAAAGTGGGCCTTTATGAGCATAAGGACTGTGGATATGTTTGAATCTATATCTTGTAAAAGCAGAGAAGTTTTGTTTAACATCTTGACTACGAGAGGAACTTCCCCAGGAGAATTAAATCGTCTAGTGGTAACCGGAATAAAATAGGTAAGAAGACATCGTAATGAAGGGATTAATTAGCAATAAAAACAATGAAGAAGTGGGCACCATATGTTTATTGTAATTACAAACTTGGTGTGAAGAAAAATAGTTCAGCTGGCAGCAATCTGGTATAGAGTCAGTAAACCACATATTTCAGTTGTGCCAAACAGTGAAGTTACATGGGTAGAAAGTATATTATTATTATTATTATTATTATGAAACGTGCAAGTTATGATGCAAAGTGATATTACTGTTGCTTAAATGTGTTAACAAATTAAGTTTCTATGTAATGCACTGGACGTGACGGCAGCCCTGGACAGAGTTGCTGGTGGAACTTTGGTTGACTGTGTGGGGGCCTGGCTGACTGTGTGGGATCAGGTTAGCAACATAGCTAGTGTAGTAATCCTGTGACTGGCATTATGTGACATGTTTATTGAGAATTTGAAGATTTTATCCGTAGACCTGAACGGGGTGTGGGTGTGTAGTCATCACCTCCACCCTATTTTGGCTTCTTGTGGAGGAGAGGGGGGGGGGATGGAAGGGGGCTTACACAAAAAAACTGTCTTAGTCTAAAGGGGTTTTCCCAGCTAAAATGTGAATAAAATAAATATATGAATAAGCTGTACTGTAGGTGCGTCCCAATAAGGGTTTAACAAAGGACTGGGGTCTGGTAGTATTGCTTAGTGTGGGCTGTGAGAAACACCTGAAGCTACACCTTGACGCCCAACAGTATCAGTGTAAATAGTGTGTGTGTGTGTGTGTGTGTGTTTACCTCTTAGCCATTGTGAAACTATAGGCTAGTTTCTTTATATCATTCATTTGTCTCAGTCTCCCCAGCAGTAATTTGGAGCCTGGATGTTACTATCGTACTTGTGTCTCGGGGTAATGGTTAGCCAGTGCAGTTGGAGAGTTGTTTGGTCATTCAGTTCATTAAATCGGGGTGTACAGTAGATGTGTTATGGGGCTAACTCCCTCACCTTAAATAGATTCACTACTGGCTGGTAACCTTAGTACTGGTCAGCTTCAAACACAGAGAGAGAGGTCACTACGTTTTTCAGATACTCAAGTTATTTTCTAGGATAGTACTGTATTATCTTGAGTTGGGCTAGTACATAACTAATGGACTCTGTATATTCAACGTTTGAGGAATTTTCTAGTGGTACTTGTGAGGACGAATCTTGTACACCAAGAAATTAACTAAAATGAGGGGGTGCGTTGAGAGCCATAACCGTCAGTCTCTATAACACACACGGTCTGTCTCTCCTTGTCCTTCTGGAGGCGAAGAGCGAGTGTTGTCAAGAGGAAGACTGTGAGGTTGTGGCCGCCAGCTGACCTTCCCCCTGAGGCCTCTTAACTCTGCCCGCCCACCACCTCCTGCCCTACCTTAGTCTCTGGGTCTGTGACACTTATATTGTTCAAAATACGAAGATAAACAATTAATTAGTCTGTGCGTGTATATTGCCGGACATACAGTAGTTACAATTGGACAAAAGTGACCTATGCCGACTTGTATACTAAAATTATATGGGAAATCTGATTTCAACTTCATTATTAGACTAAATGTGAATTAAACTGCTGGCCTATTGCAGTAACGGTCGGTCACTAATTGATTATTTTATTGCGCTCCTCAAGTGACATTTAACCATCAGGCTGTTCCTTCACATATTATTACTTATGACAAGAACCCATAAAGAAGAATTTCCTTATATTCGCCCTGCATGACATCTTGACGAGCTTGAAAATGTCCTCCTGTGTTGGTAGAGCATCATATCACGAAAATGGATTTGGGTTCGTCTTTCATCAGGGATCATCTTAGTCGCTCTGTGTTGCACCTTGTCTGAGGATGCTAAGTCATAATGGGGGTGAAGTTTCCCTGCCTGTACATACCACCACTTTCTGATCTTTGAATTTGAAGCTACACTGAAAAATTTTTCTAATTCACCTTAGAGTTGTAGAGGCGCGAACCTCACAACATAGTCACTTGTCAAATGTCTTCTTTTCCTGCCTCAAAGTCTCAATTTACTACAGATAAAGTGGGAATAGATTAATGATGCCCAGCAGGAAGGGTGACGCTCTTATTAACCTATCTTGAAGGATATTTTGAAGAATCAGGTGGTAGAGGTCATTGTAGGTCAAAAGCCTGAGTCTTGTGGACACCGTGGGAAGTAGTGATCGTTTTTCCGTCTATTTCACATTATTTTATAAGCATCTGCCCTAATATTGACCTCTGATGAATCTTAATATTTTTAATAGTTTTTCCTTCGTGATTCCTGCACATTAACCCTTCCAGAACGATGACTTTACCCCTTGAGTACGATGACTTTACCCCTTGAGTACGATGACTTTACCCCTTGCGAAAGATGACTTTACCCCTTGAGTACGATGACTTTACCCCTTGAGAACGATGACGTTACCCCTTGAGTACGATGACTTTACCCCTTGAGTACGATGACTTTACCCTTGAGAACAATGACTTTAACCCTTGAGTATGGTGTTATCATATTCAATGGGGTAAGTCATCATACTGAAGAGGTTAACCTGTTACGATATGACAATACCTGCCGTCAAATGAACTTTAAGAGATTTCCATATTCTCTGTGTAACTCGGCACCATTACACTGTGGGGGTTTCTCAAGTATACTGTTGTGAAGTTAGAAGCAATACTGAATGTTAACCTCGCTAAGGAAATATACTGATATAGACTTTTCTTCACGTTGAACACAGTTACTAATACACAACTCGTAATGTAACAGCTAATGCATATAAACGAGTTGATTTGAAAAAGATCTATGAAGTATATATTTCACACAGTTCATTTTGCACCTGGTTATTAATAGACACATTGAAATGATAAAGTCAGGAAGAATATTACATTGAGGTTCATGATCTCTGCAGAATACTTTTACTGTCGTCAAAAACTTCCTTAGATTGATAAGTTCAGTACTTCCCAAACTGACCTCAGCTGTGTGGTGACAACATCTCAGGAGAGAAGAACGGCACTTGTTCTTGAGTAATTTGAATTTACTAAAAATCAGGTCTGACCTTCCCCCCCCTCCCTCTCTCTCTCTCACACACCTGGTAACAAGGGAAGACATGAAGGTCACGGTGGTTGGTCTCGACACCACCAGGGGACAAAGACCTGCTTCATTAGTTTCATAATCAGATTAGATGCGTTGTTTCCAGATGTCTTGGTGTGCGTTTCTCTGTGTGTAAGCATAATTACATACATGTACAGTTGCCATCAAAAGTCCTCCCACGAGCTTGTTTCACAGGGCTGTGGGAGAATTTGTACTGGCAACTGTACACACACGCATTATATATATATATATATATATATATATATATATATATATATATATATATATATATATATATATATATATATATATATATATATATGCAAGTAAATCAGATGCGCGTGAAGGTATAATAACTTTCCCAAGCGCTTTCGTGTAATTCACATCTTCAGGGGTGAGTACAGACTAAGGAGAAATACATAACAAGGCTAATATATACAGTAGAGGAGTGATATACAGTATATATATATATATATATATATATATATATATATATATATATATATATATATATATATATATATATATATATATATATATATATATATATATATATATATATATATATATATATATATATATGCTGATAACCACATAGAAAACAGTAAAACACGAAGTTCCCGACCGTTTTCGAGTAATATAAAACGGAATATTTGAGTGTGTGTGTGTGTACTCAGGCACCAGTACGTGTGTACGAATGTGTTGGTGTTGGCCTAGAGGGCTGACCAGGCCTCTGCCTCAGGGGGAGAAAGTCAGGCAGGAGGTGCAGGTACCTCCCTCCCTCACCTGTATATCGCTCAGGTACCTCACATACATCACCACCTGTCCTGCCTCTCTTGTTCTCCAAGAGTCTCCCCTCCCCACCCCCCAGTTACAACGGAAAGTCAAGACAATTAATAGAATCACTCAAGACTAGACTAGGCATAGCTCGACCTGAGTGAGGGTTTGTTGACGACCAGCACAACTTTATCCCCGACTTGTTTCCCACTTAAACATTAAACACAGGGAGATGCGATGACTGGTGTAGTCCCCCCCCCCTGCGGTCACCACCTCACCCTCCTCACCGATTATTACATTTGCTCCAGCTCTACTTACGGTACCCTGGATAAGGTGTGCACGGTGGAAATGATGTTTTATTTGTTGTCGTTTTTTTTAGATTTGTCAAGCTAAAATGATAATAAAAACTAGCGGACTGTGAAGAGTTACAGGAAGACTTTCTATCGGGTTCAGAAATGGTCGAAGGAATGGCTGGTGACATACAATATAGTGAAATGTCTATATGTCTACAATTACTTAGTTTATATGACTAATACAGTAACTCAGCAAGCTACATTACTGACCTACATGAAATAATGTAGAATAAATAATACAAGATCAAGGTGTAGACATTAACGCTAACATCCTACTAACAGCTTTCAAAACCACCAATCACAGTCGACTTTTATGATTACTGTTAATTTCATTGGTAATAAACTCTTAGACCACTCTAGTAGTTAAAGGAATGTATATTTAGGTAATTAACAAAGAGTAAATAGTCAATGTGTGAGTAGCCAATCACATGAAGAGCCTTTGTTGTTGTTTACGAGTATAAATCTTGTTTGTTTAGGAGAAAGTGGGTCGAAAAGTATCATGTAAAAACTCCTTTGTTGTTTTACCTACAAGTGTTCTCGTGTCTCAGTGTTCTTGTGTTCTGGTACCTTCAGTGTTCTCGTGTTCTCGTATCCTAAAATGTATATTTTATTGTTCAAGCTTGACCTACATCCAATGAGGTTAACCCTAGTGATAAAAGTAGATGGTGATTGGTTCTTTTGAGGAAGAGTTCATCATGGCTCTCTGCTCCTGTAGTGTCTTTGTGTGCTCCTATGGTGTATTTATTTATATTCTTAACGAAGAGATTTACATTTTTTTTTCACAAAATGTTAATGTAAGTTAATGAAGTATTATTAGTGTGTGTGTGTGTTGCTTTCAAGAGGCAGTTGACAAAAGCTAAAAGGTATACCAGCAGTGGTTCACGCAGGTATACCAGCAGTGGTTCATACACACGTCCCACAACACCACCACCACCTCAAGAAATACCTTCGCGGGTGACCTACTTCTCAGCTGTTGACAGCTACACAGTACCAGGATAAAGCTAGCTGGCAACCCTCGGCCGGTGTAGGAGGCCTACCTGGTATAAATAAAGGACAATTTTCACTTTCGGGAGCCATTTGAGCGAAGGAGAACCGAAGACCATGAAGGTGAGTGGTTCAGGAGTATCGGCTGTTTCTGAAGTCATGAAATTTTGTCTTGTTGTTTAATAAATATCCGTTAACAAATGTCATGTAATCTATAAGGAGTGGAACTAAAAAATATATTTATATCAACGTTTTAAATCTTCGTTTATTTTGTGGTCGTGGCTGTTACCTCTGGCCAACACATATCAAGGTATCGGACGAATCATCAGGTCAATGTCAATTATTTATGTTCCAGCTGCTTATGTTGTTGTTGGTGTGTGTGGGAGTGGCGCTGGCGGGGGTAGTGCAGCCTGTGGCCAACTCTCCTCCACAGTCGAGAGGTGACTTCGGGGCCTCCGTCACCAGCTTCGTCAACAAGTTTACCACCCCGTGTACTACCACCGTCACCGTAAGTTGTCTTTTGTACTTAGTTGAGTAAATTTTAAGTATATAAAGTTCTATAGATATGTGAAGTCTGCTTAACGAATTTCTAAGAAGACTCTATTCTGATTTGCACTGTAAAATCATTCAGTTGTTTTAAGAATGCTTGGAGACGTGTGCAGTGGTGAGGACAGTCGTCCGTATAGATATGTAGAAGTGCGTGATCATAAGGAAATCCTCAGACAAGAGTGTACAGTAGTTTGAACAAGGAAGAATGGTTGAAAGTTTTTCCCAGGGTTCTGTAAGAGTTAGTCAGAACTGTTCAATTCCAGGAAGTAGTTTTTGTAGTCTCAGAAATAGTTGTGGAGAAACACAACTTTTCAAAAGAGCTCTGTAGAGTACAGAAAGAGAAGCTTACTAACAACATGCGAGAATTCGTTTCCTGTGTGCTAGTAAATATTGTGCAGTATCTCGTGAGGCTAGGTACATTGGTATAATACCTCGTGAGGCTAGGTACATTGGTATAATACCTCGTGAGGCTAGGTACATTGGTATAATACCTCGTGAGGCTAGGTACATTGGTATAATACCTCGTGAGGCTAGGTACATTGGTATAATACCTCGTGAGGCTAGGCACATTAGTATAATACCTCGTGAGGCTAGGTACATTAGTATAATACCTCGTGAGGCTAGGCACATTAGTATATAATATCATAAATTTCGCTACTGGTACACAAGAGAATTCTCCATTAACAAAATGTAAAATTCTTCTTGTGAGAGCCTGTGATGGCATGAGGTTATTTATTTGTATATGTATAATATTATAGGATTGTCCTGATTTATTATGATTACGATTTGTCTAGATTTTTTTTAAAGTCTTACGTGAGGTTTTTGGGTGACTGTCCGTCTCGGCAGGAATATACTACGATTGAGGCTGTTGAAACCGTGCTGGCGACGTGTGCCATTTACCTGGATGAAGTGCCCTGTGGTAGACTGGGCGACGTATCCGGTACTACATCTTCTGCCCCAGCCACCACTGTTGTGACTACTGCTCCTACCACCACCATCATCACCCCCACCACTACCATCGTTACTGTCACCACTACCACCATCGTTCCGACCACCAACCCTCCACTCTCAAGTTCTCTGTAAGTTGTTGAAGTTTGGATCTCTTTCTGACCATGCCTGATTTTCTTTAAGGAAGATATGTGTCTCATGACCATCGTTCTCTCTCTCTCTCTCTCTCTCTCTCTCTCTCTCTCTCACATTCCCAACTTTCTATCAGCCTCTTTCTCTCATGACGATTCACCTTCCTAAAGCAAACCTAACCTCCCCTCCCTCCCTCCCTCTCTCCAACCGACACCTGAATAGCGTTAGGGTGCGGTTAATCTTCAGGTGAAATAAACTGGTGGGGGGGGGGGGTGAAGAATCTTTAGGTGATCGCAGAAAACTAATTTACGTATGGATGGAGAGGCTGAGTAAATGGAACCATCAAGAAAGGGAAGTACTCGGTTTCTAGAGAGTATTACCAACTGACTTTATTTATTTCATTTTTTTTACATTTCGTAACTTTATTCCGTGTTTCTCTTGCAGGTCTCCTACGACTCACACGGAGACTGGTGACGTTGATGAGGAGACTGAGGCTGAGACTGAGGATGCTAGTAATCAAACGGAGACGCCAGAACCAGAACAAGACAATTTGCTTCTCCCTGGTAAGTTATTTCGCTCAGTCGACTAACCCGCGGGAGTTTTTGTTCAGCCTGACAGTTCCTTGCTCTCCACCACCCCCTACTTCACCTCCACCACCCCCTACTTCACCTCACCACCCATCCTTCACCTCCACCACCCCCTTCACCCCACCCCCCTTCCACCCCCACCCCTTCACCTCCACCACCCCCCACCTCCACCCCCCACCTCCACCACCCCCTTCCCTCCACCACCCCCTTCACCTCCACCCCTTCACCTCCCCACCCCTCCCCTTCACCCCCCCCTTCCCTCCTCCCCTCCCACCTCCACCTTCCCCCCCACCCCCCTTCACCTCCACCCCCTTCACCTCCACCCCCCCTTCACTCCACCTCCCCCTTCACCTCCACCCCCTTCCCCCCACCCCCCTTCACCTCCACCACCCTTCACCTCACCACCCCTCCCCCACCACCCCCTTCACCTCCACCACCCTCCACCACCCCACCACCCACCTCCACCACTTTCACCTTCACACCCCCCACCTCCACTTCACCTCCACCACCCCCTTCCTCTTCCTCACCACCCCCCTTCACCTCCACCCACCCCCTTCACCTCCACCACCACCACCCCCCTTCACCTTCCACCACCCCCCTTCACCTCCACCACCCCCTTCACCACCTCACCTCCACCACCCCTTCACCTCCACCACCCCTTCACCTCCACCACCCCCCTTCACCTCCACCACCCCTTCACCTCCACCCCTTCACTCCACCACCCCCCTTTCACCTCCACCCCCCTTCACCTCCACCACCCCCTTCACCTCCACCACCCCCTTCACCTCCACCACCCCCCTTCACACCCACCCACCCCCTTCCTCCACCCCCTCCCTCCACCACCCCCTTCACCTCCACCACAATCTCCACCACCCCCCTCACCCTCTTCACCCCCTCTTCACCCACCCCTCTTCACCTCCCACCACTCTTCACCCTCCACCACCCCCCCACCACCCACCACCCACCCCACTCCCACCACCCCCCTCCCACCTCCACCACCACCTCCACCACCCACCTCCTCCTTCCCTCCACCACCCCCTCCTTCCTTCTCCACCACCCCTGGCACCTCCACCACCCCTCCTTCCCTCCTCCTTCACCTCCACCACCCCCCTCCTTCACCTCCACCACCCCTCCTTCACCACCCACCCCCCTCCTTCACCTCCACCACCCCTCCTTCACCTCCACCACCCCCTCCTTCACCCACCCCCTCCTTCCCACCACCCCTCCTTCACCTCCACCTTCACCTCCTCCTTCACCTCCACCACCCCCTCTCACCTTTCCTTCACCCCACTATACCTCAGCCTCCATACACCAGCCACACTTATACCTCAGCCTCCATACACCAGCCACACTTAAATCTCTGTTTGTCTTGCTTAAATCTTCTCAGGTCCTGGTACAGTATTTTGTTCCCAGTATTTCCAGGTTCCAGTCCTGTGTTTTCCATGTACAGTAAAACCTTTCTTATTGTTTTTGTCATGTTGATGGGTGTGATTTGAGTCCTCCCAGGCCATCACATTACAAGAGTGAGACTCACGAGCAGAATACATTACAATTAGCATCAAAGTATTACACATGATAGCCTCAATTAGGGTCAGGGTGTGGTTCATGCGTCTGATATCGTATACGGGACGGAGAAGGATATTTTGGAAGCCCTAAAGACACAGCGTGTACTGTAGTATCACTAGAGACGTTGAGAATGATGGTGGATGGATGCTGCTCTCTCCTTTACACCCATCGTCACTGTGGATCCTTAACCGGTATTAAGCCGCATAACTCCTGTTGAAACTACCGCCTTGACGGCCTCATTGTAAGCAGTAGTCGACATTACAGCCTCGACAACATTTAAAACTTATGCCGATCGTTGTGGCATCCTTGGAGGCTACACAGCTAACAGAGGCGGGCTGCGGAGCCTTGATCAGCCCTTTACAGTCGGGAGTCTCTGTTACATCAGAAAGATATTGATACGGAAACAGTTTATATGGCCAGAAAAACAGATAGTCGACAATAATAACAATATTAACATGGCTAAGCCTGAGCTCTCTTAGTGGCACCTGATATATGCTGTAAGTTTATCTCAAGGAATTATATATTATACAGTATAACATTTAGTATCTGGATTAGTACACATAGTGTAGCATGGTGTTTATAAATATATATGATAATACTACCACGATTATCACTCCGATACTGACGTCGGATTTGAAGTATTATATCCAGCCTTTCCATAAGTGATGTTCCCACCACTGCTAAGGTTTTTTTTTTCTCCGTTGTTCGTGATTTTCCTGGCATTTGAAGCGATTACTATTATAGCCAATGAATGATATGAAAATCAAAATTGATTTAACAAGGCAGCAGGGAAGGTAAATATCTTTTGGAATATTAAAAAAAAAAAATCTTAGGTGACTTACAGATTTATTTATACATTTTGTGGATTTGGGAAAAATATATTTACAAGGTAGAACAGTAGATGTGTATTAAATCTTGACTGGAAACCAGGTTTAAGTTTATACAGGGAGGGAGTCAAGGCTGCCAGTTGTCTCCATAATTACGGTCCCTAACATTAATTAAGTGAAGTTATAAGTAGCGATGAAGAAATACAAGTTGAGTCAGATGAAACTTTTATTACAAACAGTTAAGTCACTACAGGGATTAAACTCTCATGCCGTAAGTAAGAGTTATTTCGAAATTATAAGTAAATGCTGAAATTAAAGTCATGATGGGCAACAGGAAATACACGAGGAAAATTTAAGTGTCTTTAGAGAGTAACTTACGGTGTCGTGACCCTGGGGATGTGCTAAAGACTTCCGTTTCAGTCTGAGAAAATTTCTGCACCAGCCATCAGAAGACTACGTCACTAGAGGCTCCCACCCCCCTCAAAAAAAAGCTGTACTGGTGGAAAGACAAATGCTGTAGTACTAAGATATAAATAGAGAGAAAGAAATAATAATAAGAGATAATTAATGAGTAAATTTGGTGATAGTGAGGCTAGGAAAGGACTCTGATGGATAAAAATAATAAAAGTTGTGATCCCCCGGAGAAAATTTGCATAAGGCTCTTTTTAGAACCCACATCCACTATAAATGCCACACCTAACACATGCACACTAAGGTTCCTAAAACATTATCGTACCATTTATTTAAACAAGAGAATTGTCCCTTTATCATAGTTTTGTGTAATATGACCATACGAGATTATTAAGGCAACAACTTGAGACAGGAATGATTGTGTATCCCTCAGATGTTCCCGAAAGCAGGGAGTTGTTGATGCCCAGGAGCTTCTTCAGTTGTTCCACCGTGACCCACACCTACTCCATGAACTCCATCAGCGCTATCACCACCTTCGTCAGCACCATTATCGCCACCTCGGGATGTGATGCCCCTACTCTCTCCTACGCACCATGTCTCGGGCCCACAGCCATATATTCAATGCCTTAGGGCTATATGGTGCATGTCTAGTTCACGCAGGGGTTGTGATCCACTGGCCGCTGACCATCGTCTCGCCACAAGTCAGGGCAGCTGTGGCCGTCTGGTTCCACAACAGTTGCAGTAACAAGTTCAACAGAGTGTGGTTTATCTACTATGTTTATTAACATACTTGGCCCTCTTTGTGTTTATTAGAAGTCTTGTAAACACATTCATATTGTATCAAAGGTGCCATGTTGACTCTTCAATGTAAACTGGTGAATGTATAATCTATTTTATCTACTTAGCAATGATTTAAAAATGAATTTCTGATCAATTATTTAAGTATTTTTTGTCTCCAACGATAAAAGTAGTGACAACAATATAATGGTTAGTAAACATCACGCCATGAGTACTACAGTACATGTACTCAATTACACTGGTACTACGTGTACACTATAACCCTTAGATAGTGATGTAAGTCGGGCAGGGCAGAGAAGGCCAAGATTGGTGAGAGCAGGACAGGGCAGGCCAGTACAGGACAGGGCAGGCCAGTACAGGACAGGGCAGGCCAGTACAGGACAGGGGAAGCCAGTACAGGACAGAACAGAGCAGACCCGGAGAGAAAATGACAGAGGACAGAGCTAAAGTTGCAAAACAATTTTTATCGTGAACAACAGTGCGACCGGATGTTGAGGACACCGTACTGTTCTTACACCAGGCTAACCTTGTTGTGTGTATGTCCCACACCACCACCACACTACCACCACCACCACACTACCACCACCACCACACTACCACCACCTCCACTACCACCACCTCCACTAACACCACCTCCACTAACACCACCTCCACTAACACCACCTCCACTAACACCACCTCCACTACACTACCACCACCTCCACTACACCACCACTACCACACCACACCTCCACTACCACCACCACCACCACCTACCCCACCACCTTCACCTGTCACCACACCACCCACCACCTCCACTACCACTACTACCACCACCACCACTACTACCACACCACCACCACTACTTCACCTTCGTCACCACCACACCACAACCACCACCTCCACCTCCACTACCACTACTACCACCACTACCACTACTACCACCTCCACCTCTGTCACCACTACCACTGCCTCTACCACCTCCACCTCTACCATCACCTCCCACTACCCGTCACCCCCCCCCTCCCCCACCACTCTGGTCCTCCTTGACAGGAAAGGCACTGACAAACTTTACAAAATAAAGCCCTTTAACCTGTGCAAAGCTGAGACACAGCAGCACTTCCTGGCGGACAGTTTTCCTTCGACATCACAACACCCTCGTACCCGCCTAAGCGACTGACCACACATAATCCTTATCTCCAGCACTGCCAAAGTGAGAGCTCTTGACCACAAACATAACCTACAGACTGATAATAACATCACACAGACCATCTACACTGACGGCTCTCTTAACACTGTCTGTGGGAGGGCTGCAGGTGCTGTCATTGCGACTCAGCCTAACGGTAATGTAATAGAGACAGGAGCTACAATTAGTAACAGGTCATCCACTCTACACACTGAACTATTTACCATACTCAGCCCTGAAACTTGTTGAAGACTGCCACTGACAGTCTCATCATCACTGCCTCCTTATCCTCACTACTTGCTCTTGTTACCCTAAACTCAGACTGTCACCCGCTTGTCTCTGAAGCCAGACACAAGCATATGTGTCTTGTTGACGGGGGTGTCAGGATCAAGCTGCTGTGGATCCCCTCTCACATAGGCATTAGTGAACATGATAGGGTTGATGCCTTAGTTAAACTCGGGTCTATAAACGACACTTGAGTACAATAAGGTCTATCAAACACAACCAGAAAAACTGTTGAGGAAAGAAATTAATGAATTTGAAGCAAGATGGCAAGTGTATAAACAGGCTCAAGTCAATCCATTGTCTACCATTATGAGATGTATCAAGTAAACATCTGTATGGAGCAGGTAACAAAATGACAAGATCTTACAAAATGTTGTAACTGCTAGACTAATGTTAGGATATAATTAATATCGGCACAGTACTTATTTTGTAAAATAAGAAGTGGTGGAACTCTAGTGAGCCAGAGACAATTGTTGCAAAGCAGCCGACCGAGCTTGTGGTACAGGCAAGACACTTAGTATTGCTAAGGCCTGTAGAACACTGGGTGAAGGAAGTAGAAACATAGTACTGATGGCAGTAGTTATTGATATGTGATTACATTTACACTTAAGTCGTGCTATTTAAAAGTACCGGACCGTCGTTCTGGTGTGTTCCGACACGAATTAAGCGCTGCTTCAGCAGTATGTCCCTCAAGCAGATGTGAACAAAACTAAATGTAACCTGTGCGGCAAAACATATGGTCATACATTCCAACACTACGTCTTAGACTTAGTGTGAAAAGATAGCACTTTTTAGGGATAGATCCAAGTATACTGTAAGTATATACCCATCACTACTACAACTACCCATCTCCACCACCCATTACCACCACTACCCTCACTCTCCTTTATTGCAATGAATCACTACTCACTGAGTTGGTTTCTTCCCACTCCCTGACGTCACCTCCCCTTCCCCCCCCCAACGCTCCATCCCTCTTTATCTGCGGCCAGGACGGTCTTGCCACAGGGCCTCTCATTGTACCACCAGGCTGGGTGCCCGACACACGTCTACTGCCGTGGTAAGGAAGGAATTTTGCTTCTGCCTCCTTGATTTACTTTATTTTATCCTTTACAGTGTAAAGGATAAAATAACGAGCAATAGTGCAAAACGAGCAATAGTGTAAACTTTACACTATTGCTCGTTTTGTAAGCTACTTGGGTGGGCGGTCACATCTCTGTTACGCATTGTTGGCAAGTACTGGCTCCAAAATGTATCAGAACCTGCCCCAATGATGGTTAAGTCTCGCCTTGAATGAGGTGGCAGATTATTCCAAGAGTTTACAATTCTCACACCAAAAAGTTTGCCTTGATTACTACTTTTTTTTTTACTTGTAACTACTTCAACCTGATGCTGTGACCGCTAGTGGGCCGGACATCCACTAATTCCAGCTATGAGCACTTGCCTGAGTATTGTCCTCTGTGGTGCTTATAGACTTGTATTAAGTCGCTCTACAATATAAGTTAGGCAGTTGCAGGCGTTCTAATCTCTCTGGGTAACTGAGGTGCCGTAGAGCAGGCACCAGTCTGGTGGCCTTCTTTTGGACATTTTCAATCAACTGACAGTCTCAAGCATATCTCGGGAACCAGACGGGGAATCACCTTACTTTTGAAGAGCGATGCGAGGGTTGGACCGTGTAGGTATGTGACCGCCTTCCTATAAGCCCCACTAGCCTAGATGCTTTGATTTACTTTTTCTTAATGGTTATTTTCATAAAGAAAGTCACTGATCCACGTTTTGACGCTCCTGAATTCCGTGGCCATCCAGTTTAATTTTCATTTTTTCACGATAAACGCTATCGAAAGTCTTGGCAAAATCTAGGTATATATTATCAATATTCCCACCCCGCCCTAATCAATGTTCCCGTCGATGAATCCCCATGACAAGGAGGTGGCTAAGGTGTGAGTACTGTGGCATTGTCTATTAAGATTCCTAAATTTCTATGGTTTAATAATCTATAATTCGGGGATCTATAAATACATCCAACAATGAGTAAGACTCTTACCTTCAGTTTAATTTCACACCATTTCGAGCATTTTAAAGCCCCCCCCCCCCCTGCACCCTCACTTGGCTGGCGTATAAAACCATACCCTCGGCTCTCCCTCGCTCTCTCTCCAATGCTGCGGCTATTTTTCTCTCACCACACCAAACCACACCACACCACACCACACGCAGCCATATGCTTTAAAGACTCACAACATCAGAAATTTTACAAGGGGTCTTTATGAAGGTATTAATAGAAATAACCAAACGTATCCTCACCTAACTTAACCAAACCATCAACATAGCAAAAGGTACTATACACAAGCATCCGTCATACCAATACATATTTACAGAGACAAAAGCGTAGCTACAAGAGTCCTGCCTGAGAGACCCAAGATGGCAGCGGTGGTGGTGATGATAGTGATGGTGTTGTTGGATAGTAGCGGCCTCACTACTGCCGTGGCTGCTGGCGGTCTCGAAACACAGGTAAGGTACTCGGGACTATCCGCATAGTACGCTTTGTTACTTGTGTTTACATCTTAGACCTTTTCATTTAGCTGTTTTTACTGCCATCATGTATAATGTTTAGTCTAACGGTGACTAATCAATAAGGAAATAGTTATATCTTGACCAATCAGAAGTTTTTACAAAAAATTAGATTAATATTTAGAAGTTGCCAAGCACGAAACTCTATATTAATTCTTATACAGGAATAGAAATAAAAAGGAGAATAATTTACAGTGTTTATGGCGGAAATTTACTGTTTTCTCGGGTTATTGTTTTCTTCCCCCTGAAATTTAGTAAAAAAATCCCAGGGAAATTCATTGTTTACTTATTACCCAACCAATCAGCGTAAGTTTGGTTGTCACGTGATACTTGTGAGCCAATCATCGGGAGGTCTGTGAATATGCTCACTGCTCAAGCTCCAAAATTTGAAATGGTTAGTTACAAGTTGTCGTGTGTCTGTAAAGGTTGTCCCTCCTTGGCTGATTGGCGTGTAATTCAGCGAGTTTTTGAGAACGAAACCACAGCTGTTTGTCATCTTAAGGGCGCATGGTGTTCTCCCTTCTAAGGAGTCCAAGGTGTGATTCAGACTGTCAGTATCGTGAAGGTCGGCATGGTTGGTATTGCAGTAAGAGAATGACACTGCCCAAGGTCCCCCCTCCCCCCACCCACCCCAGCTAGGAGGTTAGGTTAGGTTAGGTCCTTCTGATTTCTCTGGTTAGGGACTTTTTTTTTTCGTGTTTTTACCCCACAATATCCCTCATTGTTGGTAAATAGGGTGGGGGGAGGGGGTCATAACTACTCATTTCACCGGAATTAAAGATCAAATACGTATGAAGCAAGATAATGAAATACACTATACAAATCTATTGTCCATAGTAATTTCCGTGCATGGCAACTTCTAAATATTTACCAGAAATCCTCTTAGTGTTGAAAGATGGTTATTGTGTGTTTTATTATCTCTCTCTCTCTCTCTCTCTCTCTCTCTCTCTCAAACAGACGGTACACGTGGCTCCCGAAGTACTGACGGACCTGGTAAAACTGGCCGAAAGCTTCTGTGTCGCGATGCCACACCTGTCCGAGTGCCAACAGGTCAAAGGAACCTTCCAGACAGGTGTGTAATCACGTGGTTTGTGATATATAAATATATATATTTGTATGTATGTATGTATGTGTGTATGTATGTGTGTATGTATGTATGTATGTATGTATGTATGTTGTGGCGACCTGTCAGCATGCTCGCCTCGCAAGCGAGTGGACCGGGTTTGATCCCCGGGCAGAGTGAAACTACTGTAGAGGCAAGTTTCTTTACGTAAAAGTGTTCCGGGGGTAATGGTTAGCCAGTGCAGTTGGCGAGTTGTCCGGTCTTCTCGGACTATTTCTTGACACTGGGTCATGCAGCTCGTTGTTGTGTTGGCGACAGCTTCTATATCATTAAACAAATTCACTCCTAGGTGGCCCTTGGGCCGACCATCCTCGTTACAAGAGGGGCAACCATTATATTATGTATGTATGTATGTACTTCATCAAGTAGCATATGTCTGTCTGTTAAAATTGTGTTCGTTTCATCACCAGTCTTCGAGGAAGCAGGACTAGACACCTACCACCCAGGCAACAGCTTCCATTATACGGCCATCCTTGACCAACACGCCCTCATCTACCAGCAGTACTCAGGTGGGTCATCTACCAGCAGTACTCAGGTGGGTCATCTACCACCAGTACTCAGGTGGGTCATCTACCAGCAGTACTCAGGTGGGTCATCTACCAGCAGTACTCAGGTGGGTCATCTACCAGCAGTACTCAGGTGGGTCATCTACCACCAGTACTCAGGTGGGTCATCTACCAGCAGTACTCAGGTGGGTCATCTACCAGCAGTACTCAGGTGGTCATCTACCAGCAGGTGGGTCATCTAGGGTGGGTCATCTACCAGCAGTACTCAGGTGGGTCATCTACCAGCAGTAGGTGGGTCATCTACCAGCAGTACTCAGGTGGGTCATCTACCAGCAGTACTCAGGTGGGTCATCTACCAGCAGTACTCAGGTGGGTCATCTACCACCAGTACTCAGGTGGGTCATCTACCACCAGTACTCAGGTGGGTCATCTACCAGCAGTACTCAAGTGGGTCATCTACCAGCAGTACCCGTAAAGATAAGCCTACAGGCACAGTTACAGTTATATTTGTAAAGATACAGGTACAGATGGATGTGCTCTTCCACTTTGTTATATATTGCTGTTACAGGTAAGATTTACAGGTACCAAATACAGGTAGAGTCAAAGTTTGACCTTGTAATCAAGTTACTGGAAGAGGTACAGTTAGAGGTTAATTATACAGATACAGTTATAATACAACCATAAAAAGAGTTTTGCCACCATACAAAGCTGCAAATACAGGTACAGTAACAGATACAGACAGGTACAGAGGCATATTTATGGTCTTGAAGGTGTGTTTGATCTAGTGCTTATAAAGGTACAGTACAGGTGAAAATATATTGTTGATACAGAGATCCTTTCACAGATACAGGTGTTACAGAGATATCGGGACAGACACAGCTACCTATACAAGTAAAGGTACAAACTCCATTGGTATTTACAGAGGCGATGCAGACGAAAGAGAATCTAACCAGTGCAGTAGTCATCCTCAGAGACCAGAAAGAGGAGAAGATAGAGAGTGTTAGCAGACTGGAATCACGCATTACCAACTTCAGAAACGTCACCTCTTCCTCCAGCAGGTATGACCTCCCCCCCCGCCTCCCTCCATCCCCGTACTCACTATCTGTGTGTAGGAGTCTAGGTGTCTTTATTAATTACAGGTGTATCTTTATTGACCAGGTAGAAAGGCCGTGAGAAGAGTAAGATTTCTCTCTCTCTAATACGCTAAACTTGTTATAGATCACCTCTCTCTCTATCTCTCTCTCTAATACGCTAAACTCGTTATAGATCACCCCCCTCTCTCTCTAATACGCTAAACTTGCTATAGATCACCCCCCTCTCTCTCTCTCTCTCTACTAATCTCTTGATCAATCTAGTTATTTGGCCTTCAGAGCTCATCGGCAATTATAGGCAGGTCTAGAGCGAAGAATATCCTGCTAGCTTCACAAAGACCATGGGGGTGGGGGGTGGGAAGGGGGTGGTGGACATGTAAGAGAGTGGTGACATCTAAAACAAAGGTGTAAACAAAGACCCCCATGGTTCTTATATCAGTACAAATGTGTAAACAAAGACCCCCATGGTTCTTTTATCAGTACAAATGTGTAAACAAAGACCCCCATGGTTCTTTTATCAGTACAAATGTGTAAACAAAGACCCCCATGGTTCTTATATCAGTACAAATGTGTAAACAAAGACCCCCATGGTTCTTTTATCAGTACAAATGTGTAAACAAAGACCCCCATGGTTCTTATATCAGTACAAATGTGTAAACAAAGACTCCGCCAAAGTACGGTACCTGACCCCGACTTTCTCTGTCTCTCTCTCCCTTTTCGCAGGTCGTCATCGTCTCCATCGTCTCCTGGTACTGGCGCCTTAAATCCCTGGCATGGTACCTCCCAATACTCACCGACGGCCTTCGTGCACAGGTCTCTGAACACCTCGGCCGCTCGGGTATTATTACTCGAGTAGTGAACTTCACCACATTTCTCTCTCTCTCTCTCTCTCTCTCTCTCTCTCTCTCTCTCTATTAATTATCATGCCTATAAAAGTCATTTGCATATTGTTCACATTTATTGGTTTTCTGTATTCATCAATATTATATAGGTCACGTAATAATAATAATAATAATAATAATAATAATAATAATAATAATAATAATAATGTTATACCTGCATATCTCAGACCAACAGACTGTGCAGACCTTCTCTTGATGGGACACTCTACTAGTGGAGTGTACGACATCTACCCCTTCAGGTGAGTCTTCATATAGTACCGGTAATTATATTCCGCATGGTAGAGAGGGACTAGTTTATGACTGTCTGATCATCTCTGTGGGGGGGGGGGGTGCTGTTGGAGGTGGTATTAGCTCCCATCTTCCCAGTAACACCTCTAGAAATGTGTTAACACTAGCTAAGATGATGTGACAAGTGGTTTTCCTCCTCTCTGCCGTAGGTGTAAGTGTAGTAAGCCTGTGAAGGTTTGGTGCGACATGGAAACTGAAGGAGGAGGCTGGACTACCTTCGTCTCCCGACAAGTCCAGGACAAGAGAGAGAATTTCAGCCGCACTTGGGACGATTTTCAGGCTGGGTTTGGTAACTCTTCGGCTGAGTATTATTTAGGTAAGTTACACACGGAGCTAATTCATGTCACTTGTAGATTAGAACCTCTCCCTCCGTTTCTTAGTTTATTGAATTTGATTAAACATCGTAATGTAACTCAGTGGACCATTGATTAATTATCGTTCCTCTAGGCTTACTACTGCCAAATTGTTTATCTCAACGATTAATATCCTTATTCCCCGTACACTCGTCAGTAAATATTTATTCCTGCATTAATTAACATTCAATAAACATTTTTCATCCAATAATTAACTTTTAATAAAAACCATCTCACCAGTAAACTTTTCCTCGTTATTAATCCACACTCACTAAACATACCCGGACATTCCCCAGCTTGTACATCAACATTCAATAAACATTTCATTTGTTAGGTGAAATTTAGAAAACATTTCCTCAACCACAAATAATAAATCGGTAAATATTGTCCCTCTTCCGTAAGCAATTTCAGTAAGTGTTAAGTCATCAATTATCTCCCGGGAGGTGTGTGTGTGTGTGTGTGTGTGTGTGTTAGCTTTATTCTGGATATATACGGAAGAGATAATAATGGTGATATACATACTAGCAAATACTGGACATGTTAAGTGTGGTAGACAGAGTGAAGCAATTGAGAATGAATGATATTTCTGCATGACACCTCGACAAGCTTTGAGTTATGGCGTCTTGTCTTAAACGCACGTGAAATCTGAAGAATTTTTTTTAACTGAGTTTATATCTTCTAGCCCTAATAAGAATCTGAATATAGTCTTAAAACGGGATGACTTTAAGAACATAATCTACAAGTCTTTCTCACATTCTTTCCCGAACAGGTAATGAGATTCTTCACACCTTGACGTCATCGAGGGGGTACATTTTGAGAGCGGACTTCCACACTAAGGAGGGCTACTACAAATGGGCAAAGTGGTCCAAGTTTATCGTCAATAATCCTACTACAAAGTGAGTGATGGTGATATCTCTCTCTCTCTCTCTCTCTCTCTCTCTCAATAGAGAGGAAGCCTCGCTCATAGATAAAACAAATATATAATTAATAAGCTCGTTCCCTCAATAGCACATATTGGCTCCTGAATCTGTCTATGCCTGCGCCAGCGTTGGTCAAGTCTGGTACTGAATGAACTCACACTCGGTGCCGCCACAGCACTCTCACTGGTATAAAGTAGATGGCCAAGCTGAGAAAGAAACTGAGAATTAGTTATATATAAGAAGGAATAACATTTATTTTAACATTACAATATTTTGGGAGCCGATAACAGTGTCGTAACCTATGAGGCGAGCATAAAGTTGACCCATTCTGACCCTACCTTCTGGTGGTGACCTCGTTAATACACCCTACCTTCTGGTGTTGACCTCGTTAGTACACCCTACCTTCTGGTGGTGACCTCGTTAATACACCCTACCTTCTGGTGGTGACCTCGTTAGTACACCCTTACCCTTAGGAGGGGGTGGAACAGACGAGGGGGTGTTATCAGAGGTCTTGCGGAGATTCTTCTTATTTTGCTCTTTAAAGAAGTTAATTAAATATTTGTAATGAACAATTGTGTATAAACATCACTGTTGTATGTTGTGGTTCCATCGCTCTCTAGTTGGCAGCTACTTAAGTTTTAGTCGATCATTTTGGACGTTTTATCCATCCAGTGTTACGCCTGAAGCAAAGTTGACACTATTACTATGATGAACATAAAATACAATTGAATAAAAGCAAACAAAAATGAATTATCCTCCCAGCTTAAATTCTTATTACAAAAATCACTATTCAGGCGGTCATTTTGAATTTTGTGCCATAGGGCAGCCTTTTTGGATTTCGAGAATTGTATTTATCAAATTGGTCATGAGAACAAAAAATGGTCACCTCAGTAACTGAGATCGGACAATATTTAACCAGATATTGCAATTTTCATACAGATCCCCATATTGGTTGGCACCATCGGATATCTTGAAAATATCAATAAAATACAAATTTATTTCCCTAGAGAACACCAGGCTCTAATGATACCACTATTTATTTCGTTGAAACGCTTATATTGGTGGCCAGATACGATTTTTTTTTTGCATTGTCAATCAACATAGAATTAGCGATACAGCAACACAAACACGTATACTGTACTGTATTCCGGTAAAGCTTGGTGTCAATAAAAGTTATAAAAGCAAGTGTTCAAGTGCTGTTTATAATAGATGAGCGCTTATAACAATCATTATTATTTTATTATATTTTCGCCTCCCCCGCCCCCAGCCTTGATGTGGGTCATTAAAAAGGACCTGTCACCTGTGCCCGGGTGGGCTAATGCCCGATAAAGGAAAAAAGTCTTCTCAAAGCCAATTATTTCTTCAATGTACGTAAACAACTATCTGTACATACCTTGTGGGAAATAATATGAGACCATGGACAATAAATTTTAGTATGTGAGGGCTGTCACTAGTCACACGTAAAATTTCGGAGCATATCGACCCCCACCTGCAGATAGTTGTTTTAGCTACTGTACATATGGAACTAATAAGGTGTACTTAACGTTCAGTATTTAAACAGCGAAAAAATTAAGCCTAAACAGAATTATATTATAAAGGACCAGCCAAATATATGTTCCAAGTGTAATCTATGCCATAAAAGATCATAAAACAGCCAATCATGTGTACAGGTACAAGCTGGATGTGGGAGGCTTCCAAACGATTAGTTTAACTGATGACTGCATGGCTCAATTTAACGGTCGACCTTTCTCTACGTGGGACTTTGACAACGACCCTTCAAGTAAGTTTATCATCCTGTTCTCTGTGATGGTGATGACCACTCACCTATTTTTTGTTAACATAAATTATATATATATATATATATGCTGATAACCACAAGGAAAGAAGAAAACACGAAGATCCCAAGCGCTTTCGTGTATATATATTTCATTAGCCCAATAAAGTACGCGGACGTCTACATATAATCAACACCTCACCCAGCCATGATTCGAACCCACGGCCCACGACTGTGACCGGGGAAAGCTACCTCTAGACCACCAGGATACTAAAAGCAGTCCTCGACTCTGTTATCTATTTTTTGGCCAAAAATCCTGAAAGCATAAGACTTACAATTTTTGTCATTTTCGGCCAAAAAATTGATTTTGTTCAAAATCTCACTCAGTGTAGGTAGCGTTCCCGGTCACAGTCGTGGGACGTCGGTTCGAATCCAGGCGTGGTGAGGTGTTGATTATATGTATATGTATTATGCGCCAAACAGATGGATTCTATACTTCTATACACTTTTAATATGAAATATCATGAACACATTTTTTACGGGGATTAGCCCACCCAGCCACAGGTCACGTACCCACATCGGGGCCTGGGGGAGGGGGGCGAAAAAGCAGTCAATACATATAATAAAATTATATTGGTTTTGGATTTAATTGACGAAACCAAAGAGTAAAGAAGAAATACCCCGCAACCTCTAATTATTTTAATCAGCCCTTTTGCATCATCTTAGTTTTTTCCAGTAAATACACGTTATTTGGGGAAAGGCAATACTTCTGATCAGGTCTTTTTAAACATTTCTTACTTAATGTATGCAACATATATGTCCCTTATCATTCCTCATTAAAGTACTACAGAGCATCTGACCGTTGATATTATTTTGTAGTCTATATCACAGAACATTGCACTACACGGTATATTAGGCTTATATAGTCACATACATCTGTGTCTGTATGTATGTACAGTACTTATTTGCTCATTACCATTTCCATCTGATTCTAGGGTCACCTAAGTTTTTTGATAGGTGTACAAAAACTACATAATTTTGAACAGTTCTTAAAGTATTATAAAATTTTGAGTAATCGTTCTTCACTGCGTATTTCTACAAAGTTGTTCTTAAAACATTGCTGAATTGTTCATCAGTAACAGCGGCATAATTTTGCACGGTTCTTTGTTTCATATGCATGCATAGTATTTCTCATCTATCATTTCATTTCAACTCTCAACTCTTCATTCCCCAGGCAGTAACCATGCCCTGACGTACCACGGAGGATGGTGGTACAACAACCCGGGATTACTTCTCCCTTTTAACCTCCAAAGTGACGGTACCATCGCCTCAAAATGCCGGTATATATTCGACGGTGCCTGGGTAATTATGAACCTCAACAAGTTACAGTTGAAGATGAGACCCACCGTTTGTAACAATAATGTCAAAGCCGCTTATTTCAACACTCACAATTGTAATATGTCTGATAATTAACTAGTGATAAAGTACTGTACTGTATGTTTACATGTATGATAACTAATGGCGAAGTACAGTAATGTATGCAATGATGTTTGGTAACTATAGTGGTTAAGTTTCATAATGTATATCTACAAGTATGATGTATAATAACCAGTGGTGAAAAATATGTCTGAATAATGAAATGTATAATAATTACAGATGATATAGCCTACCATAATGTATACTGACATAATTGTATGATATATGACAAAGTACAATGTTCATGATAATTAGCAATAACATATCTCATTGTGGATTCATGTAAGATGTATAAAAACTAGCAATAAAAATACTATAAGGTATACCTACTTTTTTTTATCAAAATGTATGATAACTAGTGGTGATGTATGGTAATCTATATAAAAATTTCCAAGGCTTGACATACAATTAACTGGGAGAAAAGGTTCTGCCAAGTTTGTGACTCGTCGGTAAGTGAAGATAAAACATTGATGGACTTGTTAGAATCTAAACTTTAGATTTAAAAAGAAAACAAATCTATAAAAGATAATGTTTTTTAACTAGTGAAAATTCTATAAAGTGACGAGGATTTACAATGTCAGTAATATTGCCCAGTATTGTTTACGCTTCCATGGTTTGTGCTGATAGACTATTCCACATGTCTACTACCCTCTGCACAAAGAAAAATTCCTTATATTCGCCCTGCATGACACCTTGGAGTTATATCCTCTTGCAGGGGCGGATCTAGGAATATCAAAAGGGGGGGTCGAAGAACTTTCAGATGATTTTAAACTTTGATTTTATCCCCCTTATGTCCTGTGTAGTGTAATCGCGAGTCTTGTGCCGCGGCAACAGTTATGTGGCCCTCCTATTGACATTCTCAATTAATTGGATTGCAACAATCCAAGTGAGTACATACTTAGTGCACTAAGTACTTGCTAATGATGTAATATACTCGGAGTAGTGACCGACCAGTAAGTAAGACTGTGAAGAGGTGCAGAAGGATCTCTGTGAGCTTCAAGAATGGTCGAAGAAATGGCTGCTGAGATTCAATGTCACGAAGTGACGCTATTTGAAACTGAATGTGAGAAGGACCTAGGTGTGTATGTTGACAATGAATTGGAGTTCTCGAGCCATTGCAAGAAGAAGGTAAATCAGGCAAATAAATTATTGGGTCTTATAAGAAGGTCGTTCAGATATCTAAACGGTCCGTCCCTCGTAACAATCTTCAAGAGTGAAGTGCTTTTCCATCTGGAGTACCGTCACCCCATCTGGTCCCCGAGATATGCTAGGGACTGTCAGTTGGTTGAAAATGTTCAAAGGAGGGCCACCAGACTGGTGCCTGCACTTCGGCACCTCAACTACCCTGAGAGAATGGAGCGCCTGAACTTACCTAGCTTATACTACAGATGGGCAAGGGGGGACCTAATTGAGTTGTATAAGCATCTCAAGGGGCACTACTCAGTCGAGTGTCCTTACTTGGAGCTGGCGGACGCTCGCCCCACAAGGGGTCACAGCTCAAGATTAAAGAAGCCGCAGGTCCAGAAAACTGTGAGGGCAAACTTTTTCAGAGTGAGAGTTGTGAACTCTTGGAACAATCTGCCAGAGAGTGTTGTGACGGCACCGAGTGTGAGCTCTTTCAAGACAAGACTTGACCAACACTGGAGCAGGTTCAGGTACATTCGGGAGCCGGTGCATGCCCAGTACTTGCCAACAGTGCGTGACAGAGTACGTGACCGATCGCCCAAGCGGCTAACGTGCCGATCAGTGGTGAAGAGGATAACAGAAAAAAAAAGATGACACGTGGCGAAGTGAATAGAGGAAGGAAATAGTTGTTGTGGCCGTTATGTTAAAGTCATTAAATACCATGAAGGGTAAGCTCCTCTGAATCAATGGCAGGGGCTGGGATAAAGAAAAAAGCATCTGCTTCCTATCCCAGATAAAGAGGTTAAAAAAACAAACATGATCGACACCTTTTGTTGCGTATAGAAAACAGGGAACCGGTTTATTACAGTGTTTGTTTACGTTAGAACACACTTCATCCAACACTGTTGTCAAGAATGGTTCCTCCATACACTCTTCAGTTATTGTATTTTTCTAGTGTATTTTAGTAATATATATATATATATATATATATATATATATATATATATATATATATATATATATATATATATATATATATAATGACTGACGGCCACTTTACATAAATATTAAACAGTTCACCAATTCTGCCGATTGCATAAGAGATCAGTTTCTTGAAAAATAAGTTTTGTCTACACATTTCCAGTCGTTAATCATATTTATTCTATTTTCACCTTATCGAATACTGCATAACATAAAACTGTCATTCTACAGTAGTGCTGGATAGGAGGTTCAGAATATTGTTGGCAAAGTTTTCAATTAATACAGTACAGTATATCTAGCTTCAGTTTTTGAGTCTATAGATTGTAAAAAAAAAATTAAACACGGCAGTTCTGTTTAATAGCGACGCTGAAAATTTACATGTTTGAATAATTATGTAGTGATAAATGAATTAAGTAGCATACTGTAGAGGAAAGTTAACAAGCAGTGTCGGACTGTCTGTTGACATGACCACTACAAGGAGAACTTTGCTTCCTCGGATACATAGTATTTATTTTTTATTTTCTTTAATTGGTCCAATACAATATTTATCTTATCAAAAGTAAGTAAGGTAAAGCATTTTATATAATAGTTCTGGTGACAGCTGACTGAGGTGTTGAATATTGACTGGATTGCATATAGTCAAGTGAAAGTGATAATTTCTCTACTTGTTGCACGGTGTTGTAGGGAGAAAAGGCTTTAGGCCCAAGTATCCTAGATCCTTACCCACTTGTTGAACAATAACTGAGTCAAGCAAGCTACAACGTAAACTCGAGCTCTCTTGCTATGTCTACCAACCCAGTGCTCATTGCTTTGTCTCTTTGTCTGGAGACCTAGACCACCAACTTATGTATAGTGCTATTATGTATGTCTTAGGGAAGCTCATCAACATAGTATATTGGTTCTTTATTGTCATGATGTCTGCAGTGTTATGAAGCTATTTAACACCCAAATTACCAACAATATTTTATAGTGGTAATATATGAAAAGTGGTAATATATGAGAACACCGCTACCACCTGAAAGAGTTGTTCGATTGGTAATATTTTAGTTTTGGTCATCCGGGGAATTGGTTAGGTTAGGTTAGTTTGGTTATCTAAATACAGGGGTAACTGAAACAAAAATTTTACTTTTCTTTATTTTTTCCCACATATGTTCTTAATATATATACAGGTAGTAAGTATTTTAAAAGAGGCGACATTTACTTGAACCTAATATAATGTAACCTAACCTAACCAAACCAACCAAAGAAACATACCTAACCATACCTAACTTCCTTGCCAGGGAGGGACAGTGCGTACTTTGATATCTGGTACCAACAAACCAATTTTATTGAAGCAGCATGGTGTAATTTTACGTTTTTGGTGGATTATCAACTATCATAAATCAAATGTAATGGGCAGGGTATGAAGAATGAGGGAAATTGCGTGGTAAAACACGGTGATAAACTGATGTCATGACACAAAAAAGGTGTCCCTACGTGCTTTGTATATATTCCGCTAAAGAGTCTGCTGTATCGGTGGGTGTTGTCACCTGCTCTTTGTTTCCATACAACAACTGAGCCGCTGTGTCCGAAAGTACTGTCACGTTCCCCAAAAATTTAAAATTACATCATGCCACTTCAAGAAACGTTGCTTTCATTGGTACAGGTGCTGGATATCAAATTAAGTATTGTACTACTGTGGTTTCCGTTTAACATACTGGGGAATCCTGGGGGCGAGCCCCTCAGGCTAGGAAGTTTGGTATGGTTAGGTAGTTTTCTTTGGTTGGTTAGGTCAGGTTCTATTAGGTTCTGTGCATTGTTGTATAATTTTTATTAATTACTCATCCAAAGAACATTGTGGAAAAAATTAATGATACTGAACTCCTTGTGGTGTTAGCGGTCTGCTCCATTTTACCCTTTGTCCTGAGTAACTTTTGATAACATAAGCAAGAACTTACCAGTTACTTCTACATTATAGGATTTATCTGAGATAAGATTGGATTAAATTGAATTATATACAATGGTAGGTTAGATAATTTAGGTTGGATCATCTTATCTCTTATAATCATTTAATGAAGTATTAGCTGGTAATTTGATTCTGTGTACAGTACTGTACTATGAAGACGTTAGCAAGCATCTGTGGGTGGAGAGTATTTACAGTATAGTGTACTGCAATACAACACTGTAGTATAGTACAGTACAGTATAGGGAAAACTAAATTACAAAAATTTAAATTCCTCCACCTGTTTTGGAATTACAGTACTTGAAGTAAAAAGAAGTTTAGATTATGTGGACTAAAATAATACTGTCAGGCCCCTGTATACAGACCCATGTTTCAGGGCCACAGGGACACCTGGTACAGTTTATAAAAAAACATTATTTACGTGAATTTTCATATTACAAATAGATAAATATCAGGGAAAAATAGGGTTTGATTCCTAATGACAAAAATACCCCAATATCATACCCTTAAAATACAAAATTGGTTTACAAACAAGAACAAAACCGAGTTAACTAATGGTAAATGGTACACAACTACAGTATTCTAATTAATTACCTCACACATGAAAAAATAAATAAAATACTGTTTAACTTTGGTACATTACCTTATGGAAGGGCACTCCGGGCTCACCACCACAAGGGGGTGAGCAGGGATGGGCTGAGTCTGGGCCTTACTCAGTGAGATGAGGAGGGTTTTCCACCTCATCACTGATGTCCAGCTGCTTGTTTGTTCTCCTCATCGTTCTTGTAAATTGTGGCCACAGTAGAAGCAGGCAGACCAAAATCATTCCCAATTTTGGTAGGGCCATCACCACAGTCATGACACTTAATTACTTCCAGCTTTGTGTCAAGAGTCACAGCCTTCGATGGTTTGTTGGTGTAGTACAGGTAGCCGAAGATTCAAAAGATCTCTTGGATGCCATTATGAAATTGTAACGAAAGGATGGCACAATTACACAGAGATAAAGAAAGACTACTTCACACACACACACAACCAGTGCTGGATGTAGGAAGGGGGAATGATCAGTGAGCGAGAATACGTCTATGCGCATCTCTCCTCAAGGTGGCTGCACCAGCTATTGTAACTCCCAGCATGCAAAACTTGAATTTTTGCCTGAACCCAAATTCGCATAAACAGGGGAAACTTTCGTTTCTCGAAATAGTGGTGTCAATTTAGGAAGTTCATACAGGCCCCTCCCCCAAGTTCACAGATTTGTGGGGCCCCTGTATAAGTCAATTGTAGCATCTTGAAGGTTCTTATCACTAGAGATACCTGTACGTCCTTTAATCTCCTTGGTAGCAGGAAAAGCTTGATAGATGAAGTGGCACTGGTATGGCACCTAACCACAAGGCCTATTCAGATTGTTTTCCCATGTGTTAGAATGAGTATTGAACTTACTGTATTTATCTATTTTCTTACCTCTTTCTCTGAGTGATCAGCCTGGTCTGTTTACTTGTTTGGTAAGAGACCGACCACCACACAGTGGGTGGTGGGCTGCCAACTGCGTGATTGGAGCATTCATTCACACACCCTCCCTCACCCATCCCCTCTGATACATACCGGTACAGTGTTTGGTGGCCATATCAACCCCTCTGAGTGAAGGGGTTAAGAAAATTGCTCAGCTAAGCTTCATAACTCGCATGTTGGCATGGATATTGTCTGGATCTGGAACAATAAATGACTTTCCTATGGTAGTTGTCATAATTAAAAGGAATATTTAATACATAATGTCATCCAATATGTAGAGTATTGGATAGACACCAAACTAATGTTGAGATTTAAAGCAAAATTCTGTCTTGACAAAATTTCATAATGCAATTCAGTTTGTAAACGACTAATGTCAATGAGAGAGTTTAAAATTTCCTCTTTCCAGCAAAGTGACAGCGATATGGTGCGACTCAGAATCAGGTGCCGGTGTATTACCCTGGCTGTCATAGTCTCACAGGTGAGTATATACTGTTGTGCTGAACCAGCAACGAAGGAGGACAGTACAGTACAGTATATGGAAGGTAATTATTTTAACTCATGATGTGAAACTATAAAAGGTTTCAGTAGTGTACAGTACAGTACAGGAGGTCCCTGACTTATGAATGCCTGCTGTTACGAATGGGGTTAACTTTGAAATTCACAAGTAATTTATTTACCTGATGACTTATTTTTTACTTTCATTTACTGTTTTTTGTCATTCTATTTCTTCTTTTGTCATAAATTAAGTGATTTTAGATGTATGTAAGGACTTTGGCTATGATGTAGTGGGATTCTAAACATTGTTTTGTAAGTACGGTAGGCATATAGCATGTGTTCCGACTTACGTACAAATGTGATTTACGAACATCCTCAGGAATGAAACTCATTTGTAACCCTGTAATCTGCTTACAGTACAGTACAATATTTGCTTTAGCTATAGTATAAGGTATTGTATTATTGAAGTACAATACATACTGCACTGTATAGTATTCATATTATTGTATTATTTAATTCGGTCTAATGTATCATTATTTGGAATATTGGGAATGAAGAGGTAAATAACTATACTGTATATTAATATTTATGCTTTCTTTACAGGTTTTTGTGGGATTGTGGTTCTTCTCACAACGCCTAGATCCTTCTAAGCAATTTCTGAGGCGCTTGTTGAATGAAGGTGGGCAAAGCATTTTACATTTAACAGATCAACAAATGTCTCACTATTATAGTTTCTTGGGGAAAGAATTTTGTGTGAAAGAGGGAACACTCTTAAAACAGAGCTCTGAAGGCAACTGCATCTGCAAAGTTGGCTGGAGAGGACAAAGATGTGGGGTGCCTGAAGTAATACAGAGAGCTGAGTGGATGCAAAATCCAGAACTCACAAAAAACTTACAACTTAAGAGAAGAGTAAGGCGAGTCATACTCGTGACACCATTTTCTTGTGAATTTGATATATTTGAAACTAATATGAATGAACTTGATGAGCTTATAGATGCATTTGTTATTGGGGAAACTAATTACACTTTATGTGATACAAAGAATTCTCCTCCTCTTTTAAATAAACTGAAAAATGGATGGCTTAAAGAATATCAGAACAAGATCATATATGTGCCTGTGAATGATAAACATTTGAAGAATTCTTCCTTCATGCAAAATCTTGTTCAGTCTGGTTTACGTTTAGTTAGTGATGTCCGCCCGGATGACCTGCTCATTCTGACAAATGGTGAAGAGATTCTGAGTCGTGATGTGGTTGTCTTTCTGAAATTCTTCCATGGTTACCCATTACCAATTAAGTGTAATTATAAGAATTATCTGTATGGATTTTACTGGCCTATGTCAAAAGGCAAAACTAATACAACAGCCCCTCAAATGTGTGCTGTATCTTTCCAATTTTTAGCTAATGCCTTTGAGTATCAAGTATCTCGTCTACAAGATGGAAATGTACTAGAAGAGGATCTTAATTTCTTTACTACCAATGAACAGCCTGTTGTTGAATGGACTATTTCTGAAGCTGGGTGGAGATGTCACCTTTGTCTCTCAGTTCAAAATATTTTCAATAAATTCCTTACCTATCCTCACAGTAGTCAGCCAAAATGGTTCACAGAATCCTCTCCCAGTATGGTGCCTTTTATTCAGCGACTTATCAAATTTGGTCAAGATGAAAATCTTGATCCTGTTGGAAATGGAGAACTTCCACAGCGTGAAAACTTACCTTCATATTTGTGGAACCATAAGGAGAACTTTGTTCACCTGATGAAAAATCCTTATGAGACAGTGTCCATCCATAACTTTGTTTAGTGCCTTTCCTACCACTCATTGTCCCAAAGGAGTATGAAGGTACAGTAGGTAATTTTTTATTTTAAGATTCATTGATACCTGATATTTTATTCATTAGTGGCTTCTGATATTACCAATGTGACCTTTTTGAAAGAATTTATTCACCTTGTTTTTAAAGGTTTGTTGTATGTGCAGCACATCTTAAGAGACTTTTTCAGTGTGTATAAATTGTTGCCACTGCTTTCCTGCAATGAAACTTTACATTCATTCTTGGTGAATGTTAAATGTATAAACTGTTGATAATTATTACCAAACATAAACATATGTACTGTAAATTGTTAATTTCCCTGATATAGTAATGACTGTTGTAGTGTGTAAATACATATACTGTATATAATATTTTTATCACAAAACTAGTTAGATATTTTGATACTGTATAGTACATACTGTTTTTTGATAACCAAAAGTAGGAATGTTTGTCCTATAATCTGCAGACTATAATGGCTTGAAAAAATTGATCTAATCAAAAGGCTTAGGAGAGATTAAGATATAGTTCTGCATTGCAAGCCGGGAGAGTTATATCATGTTGTTATATTTTTGCATGTAATTGAAGTCTCTTGTAAGCTGTGTGTTGGTAAATTTCTTTTATGTATACCAGGTAGCTACACAATACAAGCATATCTTTTATTAACTAACAGTACAAATATATCTTGGAATCACTGAAAATGGGAAAAGTATGAAAATAGTGAAATCAGAGCTTGTGCAATGACTACCAGTCCCAACAGTTAACATAGTCCTCAAGATTGACTTGTGAGGTATACTAAGAACCTCCAGGCAGAGCTTGCTTTTGCCTGAGCTGTGTATAATTCTTAGTAGCTACACACTATCTGCATGAGCACTGTTTACACTGCAAGCAACCTTCACAGCCAGTCAATCTAGATTCAGATGCAGATTGGTGGTTGTTCCAAAGACCTGTGAGGCATTAGGTCAGGAGATGTCAACTCTCAGAAGGTTCACTCCTTTTCAAACCCTTCTCAACTACATGAGATCATGACCCAGTCTTCCCAGTAACCTTCCACTTACAACAGAACACACCCTTATCCTTGATTCCAGGTGGACTTAATGAAAACAATAAATTGTTAATTTTTTAATTTGTTTTATCTCTATAGTAATATTTCACAATACAGTATTAGCATATGCCATATTTAAGTGACCAGTTGTTGTGCTGGATTAATGTTCTTATTATTGCATGTAACTGTAGTAAATTACTGGTGGCAGCCAATAAAGGGAGGGCTTATTCTACAGGTGATAAATACACAAAGTTGCTCAGTCCTCAATTGGTTCAAATTGAGAAGTAAGGAAGGATACATTAGTTATGATCTAACCGGTTGTAAAAAAAAAATCATAAGCTCATTTGGCAGCAGGGTAAAAATTGTGCATGCAAAATCCAGGTTCAGGGGACTCATGTACTGTACAGTGTAGCCAGATAAGTGTACAGTTTAAAAATCATTGACTTTGTTGACTGGAACTAATTCAAAAGTTAAGTTAACCTTCCCATCATAACCCAAATCTTTTGATAAAAAAAAAGGAGCCTGAGTGATGAAAATTACTACTGGTACTTAATCCTGAAGGCTAGGATCTTCAATCACACCAACACCTTCCCTGCTTGACCCTCACATAACTTGGTTACAAGATATCATTTCACAGGTTGACCCATAGTTTAAGGCAACTGCGTTTAATATATGAATCCCCCTGCCTCTCAAAACTTAGTTAATATTTTAAAGTGCTGCATTCAGGTTTTGGCTTTGACAACTCCTGAACTGAAGCTTCACTGGTCCTTGAGATAACCAATGATTTTTGGGTGTTACTCTCAATTGCCTGAGTGAAAAATCAGCAGCATAGATATTGTCCAAATGAATGTACAGTACTGTATCCTGCTGCTAAGTGTCGCATGCTTCCAAGGCAGTAGTGTTGAAGGGTACTAAGTGGTAGTACTGTATATGTATCTTAAAGGTCATTTGTTCTATTCTCTTGGCCATAAATTGGAATTTCAAGCATTAATCCTTAAATTTTTTAATATATATACAGGGTGCTTCGGAAATAAATTTCCCAATTCTGGGGGTGTATTCCTCAGGCATACATAAGGAGTCAGAACGTATGACAGTTAGGTTAGGTGAAATATCCAGTGTTGTTAGCACAATTTATTTGCAATCCTATGCAATCTGATATGGGTTGTACAGGAAATGTTCAAAATTCATGCCCTCTTCCAAAGCGCAGGCTTCAACCTATCGTAAAAGTGACTAGGGTATCATTACAAGCTCTAAGACTCCAGGGGTGTTCCGAAGGCTGGATATTTCATTTATGCTCCATATATTTTATCACATTCCAACTGTCATGTGTTGTAACTCCAAAACTATGTGGTATGATACTATGGTCATGGAGTCATTATGTATTTCTGAGGAATACACTCCCAGAATTATGAAATGTACTGTAATTCCCAAACACCCTGTATTCAAATTGGGCTTTTACTGTGTGTGAAAATTAATGAAATACATTTATATTAGCCCTCTGTTGTCCGTCATAGTTAGACTAGATATCATTCTATAAGAAGGGAAACAATAGATAATATGACCACAGACATAATATGTAATATGGTTACAGACATAATAATTATGTAATATGGCAACAGACATAATATGTACCCTAATATGGTTACAGACATAATATGTAATATGGTCACAGACATAGTAGGTAATATGGCCACAGACACAATACGGTAGGTATTATGGTCACAGACACAATAGGTAATATGGTCACAGACACAATAGGTCATATGGTCACAGAGATAATAGGTGATTGAAACCTGAACAGTAAAAGAGATGATGCAATCAGAACTTTGTGAAAGCTTTATGGCTAATGCATATCATTGCATTTTTATTTTGTCTATGCATTAATTGCCTAGATATTTGTTCAAAAACTTTTCCTAGAGTAATTGATTTTGTTGTCACCCAGGGAATGCAGTATACTGTACTTTACTTTGTACGTATTTGTAAAGAGCTTTCATTAGGACAAATTGGTAGAGTTAGTGAGGAAGAGGAATGGTTGTAAATTTTTTGTATACATCAGTAAAGTATAATGTACAGTACACCCAGTCCTCGCTTAACATTCTCCCAGACAACGTTGCTACTCTTTAGATATTCACGGTTCCGACAACGTTGTTTCATGACCCGACCGATTCGTTATAACGTTGTCACCCAACACGGACTACTTTGTATGGCTCGCCACGCTCTCTCATCTTGGCGCGCTACTCTCTCTCACGGAGCGTCACAGCGTCCCCAAGCGTTTTCTGCTCAGTCTTTGTTAAGTTTCCACAGCATACGTGCATGCTTAAGTGTTTTTGCTCTAAATACTGTACTGTAACCATTCATAATGGCTCCCAAGTCCCCATCAAGTGTTAGTGATGCTAGTGAGGAGGAGCGAACAGCAGCCAAAGGTGGGAAGGGGAGCCCCCTCCAGGTCTCAGTGACTCGCCTCCCTCCTCCTCTCCACTACCCACCACACACTCGCTCCACCTCTGCCCATCTATGAGTACAATACAAAATTTATGGATATGTAATGTATTTTATGGGGCAAAGGGAGGCTGGGGAACATAGCTAGCGTATTTTATCTATTTCTTATGGGAAAATTGATTCCGTTAGCGTTGTGTTTTACAAGAAGGTAACCACGACGTTAAGCGTGGACTGGGTGTATTTGAAAAACAACCGAGTGGAATGAGGTGTTGACATAGCCAAAAGAACTTAAAGTAATAATAAATGGAAGGATCCTGCAGGAAACATTTTCATACTAATTAATCAAACTGAGTTATATACAGAACAGGTATTGCAAGTTTATTTACATTATAGGATGAATCATTTGAATTATAAATGAAATGTGATTGTTGAATATAAATTTTATTAAAAATTTTATTCCTATAGGTTGAGGTATAGAATATGCTGTGACCTTTTTTTCTGACAATTGGAGTTGCTCTCCTGTTTTTCCACTAATGTAATGTAAAGTTACAGCAGCTTAATAGATATCAAATCATTGTTTTGATGTACTAAACTTAAGATAAGAAAAAGACTTTGAGTCTGAATACTCACATTATATGGTGCTACCATACTCTCAAGTATAAGGTTACTTTCTCTATTGTTTTTATTAACTCTTCCTCAGACAGTGAACAGACTAGGAAATTTATTGGGGACCTTGTTACTGACTTTTCTTGTTTCCTTTTAGTGCAGTTGGAGAATTATTTCTTTTCACATCTTTGAAACAAAGGTGGTTGTCTTGTTGATACTGTACATGGGTCCTGCCTACCACTGGAAATGGTTAGCAGGGGCAGGTCCAGGAATATAAAATGGGGGACATGGCGAGCATAGTGAGCCCACCCAGCTTTGGGGGGAGTGTAAGCCTCCCCACAATTTCTTTTTAAATCTGACCAATATCATGGGCATTTTGAAGCCATGTCCACTTGATATTAGGAGATTCTGAGGTCAATAGTAATTACTTTTTACTACCGGTATACAAAAATGCCTGACTACAATACTGCATTAAAGAAAAAGTCTTGGAATTTTCTGATGAAAAAGAGGGTCCAAGCCCCTAGGGCCCCACCCCCATCCCTGGATCTGCCCCTGGTTAAGTATACTCAAACAAGGTGACACTCATCTTAAACTTGGTTGTCCAGTATTTTGAAATTATCTTTTAATCATTTGTCTATATTTTGTGTGTGCTGTAACTTGTACTGTTCAGAGTAGATAAATTATTTCCAATGAAATACCAAATTAAAAAAGCTTGAAGTGTATCCCTTACTGTTTATACTGTCTTGAATATCATAAAGGTTTTCCCAAGCAAAATTTCCTCTCCTTTTTTCAGTGTTATTAGCTGTTAATAATTAAGTTTAAGTCCCTATTTAATATTTTATTTTTAAGAACAAGTTTCTCAAATACAATTAAAAAATACTGTCTTATAGATGCTGGATAGTGTTCGTTAGTCTTAAGAATAATGAATCATATCTTGTTATTTATAAATGCTTTTTATTATAGATAAATTTACTATGGCTGGAATTCATCAGTCAAAATTACTCCATAGTGAAATTCAATAATTATATGCAGTAAAGAAACAATGCTGATCTCGTGCACTTTTGTCTAAGCTAGTGCAGTTTAGCGATTTTGGAAAGGTTGCTATCAATGTCTTCCAGGAAAAAGCTTTGTTAATTGACTGTTAGATGCTTTAAGATAGGGAATGAAACTTGAGCCCAGAGAGAGATTAATATAATTGAAGTGATATCAAATGATTAAATGCTGTTTACTGTACCCTGTTTCCATAAGTGAAAGTTGGTCCCATGGGCCTTATGGCTTGTAAAGGTCAGGACACTGTGACTGCCACATGGTAAAGATAAAATCTTCTGTACACAAGGAAACAGTGTGGCTAGCACTACTTTTTATTGCCTTTTACTCCCCAAGCTGTAAAGTTCAGTACCCATTGTGCACAAGGGCAACATGGGATGCCCCAAACAATGGGCAGCTTCAGGACTTTTGATACAATGACTGTTGGTGGTGGGTCAGGATGGAGTGCTATATCTACCCAGCAATCATGCTCCCTGACCCAATATTAAAGTACAGTATGGTTAAACAAGAACATTTTACTGTAGAATGTTGTACGTTCAGCTGCCAGTACTACAGTGTGATATAAACCTCTTGTGTTATATCAATAGTATTTACCTGCTACATTTGTCTTCAGCAGTGAAGTACTCTATTGTTGTGATCTGTATGGTGTGCCTTTGTTGTTTTGGTATGAGAATGAAAAGAGTTTATAGACTTGGTAGTAGTATTATTTCACATGACACTTGTATTGTATCCCACATTTGTAATTTTGTTATAAATATTACCTCAAGCCACTCCATATACAGTACAGTATTATCATCATTATATTAAAAAGAGTATTGTTTCCATGGCATACTCGTCTTTTTGTTCTAGAACTTTATAAGTGTGATTTGAAGGAAGTGAGATACCAGGTACCAAACCAAGTACCCATACTGTGATCTAGTTTCCTGGATTTGGCAGATTTCTGTGCCTAAGCTGTGTTTTAACAATTCCTGCGCAATTTTTTAAATTTAATTATTCCATTGCAAGCCCGAACACTGATTAGATTGTAAGCAATAGCCTTAAGAAATTGATCTGACCCATAACACTGATTTTCATAGCCCACAATGTATACATACTACAACCGAGTTAAATGAATATGTATGTAAAATTTTGATGTGACATCCTGACGTTCTTGAGTTGCTGTAGGGTCGTATATAATTGAGTGCACGAGGCAAGTAGTCACTCCATTGACTTGTCTCCATCGTCTAACAAGTACGGTATACTCTCAATTTAAAGGAATCTAATATTACGAACTCGCTGTTTAGCGGAAGGTACTTTTTCCATTATTTTTCGCTCGATTTAGTAAACTAGTTTACATCCTTTATACCTATACCCCTCCTCAACACCCCCCATGCCCACACCCCTTCTCCATGCTCTCCATACTCGCACCCCTCCTCCACGCCCTCCAAACCCACACCCCTCCTTTATGCCCTGTTCATTGCCACAGACTCCCGTACACTGCCTGACACTCCCGTACACTGCCTGATTGTCCTGTACACCTCCAGACTCTGCTGTACACTGCCAATCACTCCTGTACACTGCCAGATACTCTTGTACACTATCAGACACTCCTGTACACCGCCATACATTCCTGTGCACTGCAAAGCACTCCTGTACACCGCTAGAAATTCCTGTACACTCCCAGGCACCCTGTACACGGCCGGACACACCAGTACACCCGCCAAACATTTCTGTATACCTCTTGACACTCCCAAACACACTGCCAGACATTTTACTTTTACAGCCAAACACCCCTGTACATTGCCAGACACTCATGTACACCGCCAAATAGTCCCAGACACTTCTGTACACTGTCAGACACTCGTTGTACACTCCCATACACCGCCAGACATTCCTGTACACCTCCAGACTCTGCTGTACACTGCCAGACACTCCTGTACACTGCCAAATATTCCTGTACACCCCAGACACCCCTACACCGCTAGACACTCCCGTACAGTGCCAGACACTCCCATAAATCTCCAGACTCTGATGTACACCCTCAGACACTCCTACAGATCGCCAAACTCTCCTGTGCACCACTAGACACCCCTGTACACGGTCAGACACTCCTGTACACGGCCAGACATTCCTGTACACTCCCAGGCACTCCTGTACACTGACAAACATTGCCAGACTCTGCTGTACACTGCCAGACACTCCTGTACACTCTCAGACACTCCTGTACACCCCCAGACACTTCCATACACCTCCAGACTCTGATGTACTCACCGTATACTGCCAGACTGGGGTCACTAATCCTAAGGGGAAATACTTAACTCTAATCTTAATTTCTAAGGGTCGCTGCCACCAGACCCCCTCTGGACAGTAGGTAACTCTTTAGGTAGCGTGCAGAGTGGACTTGGCTTTGGGTTCGGTTTTTCATTGACCAGATCGATAAGGGGAAAGAAGGGTGAAACCATAACATGTCTTAACTAATTTATTCTTTATAAACTATATGGTAACAAAAAAAGTACAATTGAGCTGGCCTTCCTCAGAAGAACAACGATGAGTTTGGTTACCCTGCTTACAATATCATTTAACACTTCGGACTGCTCCACCTGTATGGTGTATAGCACCTTAGGTCATCATACATAGTAACACCATCTCACCTCCCTGTAGCACCAGCTCACCACACCTGTTATACTCCACACCTGCAAGTATGGGACTCCTTGTGATTTCTAGGTGCACACCTCAGGCACCTCGTTCGCACACCGTCCTCGGTGGGTAGAGACGAGGGCTACACCCAGAGACATACCAGTACTGTTTCTGCGCCTGGCATTATAGGTCGCTCCAAGTGATGACCGCAGAGTTTCTCAAGCATTTCCTTATTTATTCCTACTCATTTGGGGTGGTCTGCTGGGGATCCAAAAGGTTCACAGTGGGATAGTATAGCTGGTAGTCACCTCACATGGTGGGACGCTCACAGGGAGAATGGCCGACGCCCAGCAAGGTGCTCCGACCGCGTGTGACCTGAGGTGACGGTAGAACGGAGGATACTGAGAAATATTGCCTGATGGGCGGTTATCACACACCCTAACACATTACTATTACACTTATACATCAGGCAAAGCTTTAAACTGTAATAACTGCTATATAAGCCTTTTTTTACAGGGCGGGATGTAGCCCGATAGGACACTGACCTGAGGTGACGGTAGAACGGAGGATACTGAGGGCAGTGCCCCGTCACTCGCCACCGCGTAGGCCTACAGTTTCCAATCTTTAATTTTTACTTTAATTTCTTACTGTCATCACCTGAACACTTTCCTGTATATTGTAACTCATGCCTTATAAACACATATTTTAATCCTATATTACACACTAAGGTAAGGTTCTGGTTTGCTAGTTCGTAGGTAAATTCATTAGGTTATAATATCAACGCGGCACACTCGAGGCGGGTACAGGACGCTCCCTAAAACAAAAGCCGAATGTTCATGGCGTGGGTATATCCACTTCACTTAAAACTGTAATTAGGGATCCTCCTCTCACACAGTGCACTATTTGAACACAAACATAAGATTCTCTGATCACTGTACATGTCGTGGGTATATGTCGCATGAGGATACGAGGTGTATTAAGTTCACACCGATGCATTCAAGATATTTCCTTTCAAGTATAGTTTCTGGGTCACTTCCAACACCTCACATAGTTCTGATACATTTATCCTTTTTCCAGATCATTGTTCTCATGTATTTTCATATGATATCTGTGGAAGTTATGTTTGTTACACGTTCACAGACGTAAATAGTATGACCTTCAAACCACGATCCACACTTCGTCCTGCAGTACACTAGTCCGGCTCAACTGGACTTTCCCAATCATGTTATGGATACCCTGAGTTCTCCTTAATGCTATGAATACATACAATTAATATTATATAACCGTACCTGGGTACAATACAACACATGATCTAGTAACATTGAGTAGGTGAGTTATTCTTTATCAATGTTCCCGTTCTCTGAGATTCTACAAGCGCGGTGGATTGGAATGTTATGTCGCGC